ATATCTAACACCCACAAGCATAACCTGTGCTTTGTCTGCGGACCCAGGTAGCACTTACTGGGGTTAAGGTTAAAATAGATTACCAAAAAACGTCTTGATTTGATCCGCTTGTATTTCTCCAACTGTATCTTATATAGCTAGCTACTAGCTAGTACACGTGCACAGTAAAAGTATTAGACATAACTTTACCTGGTAACATATGTACCCTCAAGGAAGCTTTCACTTCGTACGAACAGTGGTGGAAATTAATTATGCTTCCTGGCCAAGTCTTCTCCATAAATGAATTTCACTATTATTTTGTCGAAATTGTTCATCACGCATGTTTGGTGTACTTGGACTGTACTATTACTTAGGGTTAACATTAATTTTTTATCCTTGTATTTTATTCGCCGATTTAATTATGTATTTTTAATCTATTCAATTTAGTCATTGAGTGTGTCTATATAAGCTAACGCAGGACATTCCGTCTGCAATGTAATATTATGATCCAAACCGTTTATTTTTTATATTCTTCTAGTCGATCATTATTATACATGACTCTAAAATTAATTAGTTTTCAATTTAAGTGGCCATTAAAATGTCATGCATATAGCTTTCAGACAGTAACCAGTATCTAATTTATCTATTTATTTAGTTTTTGAAATGTTCTTAATGTCGGCAAAATTCCTAAAGCTGCATATTCTGAAATACGAAACACATGAACATGTATATATATGGACACCTGAATACTTAAATCTGAATTGACGTCTAATAGAACAATGAACAACACCCACACAAATGAATAAATTTTTTTGTAAAATGGAAGCATCAAATTTCAACAACAAATAATGACAAAAGTATATAAACATAATACGTATTCGAATGTCGCATCCAAACAAAGCCTTGGTTAAAGGGACACATGACCAGCTTTAAGTATCTATCCATTTGGTCCATACATGGCAACACAAATGTTGCAGAAGGATGGATGGCGTTATTTGTGAAAGAGCAAAGTTGGGAGGCCCAAGACATATGAGTTCTCAGGCAATGTCACATTCCAGCCACCTAATGGGAAAGAGAGATAAGGAACAACAAGATAGCGACCCTTCCATTCTCTAGCCTTCCTTTCCTTCATTGTGCCACAACAGACAATTCAACAACGCAGCTGCTACAGAGAGAGAGAGAGAGAGAGAGAGAGAGAGAGAGAGATATCATCAATTATAATATGAAGACACCAAGCCTATAGCCAATCGAAGCCAGTATCGTTATTTACTTAAAGAGAATTAGGGTTTCTCAGGATGGTGACCCATTTGTTGGTGGGCAATAATCAGATTTGGACTCATTTGTGGTCACATGTTGTATGCCTCTAAGAGTGGCCGTTGAAAGAAATTGATGTAAGGAGGCACTGACGGACACTGGCGGACCTACAGAGGCGCAAATAATCATTGACTAGACCAAATGATCATTGATGAATTTTTCAAATTTAAAATATTTTTAGAAACTCTAATAGAAATTGTATGGTACATATTCAATCAAGATTAACCATATATTTGACTATACCATATAGAATTTAGATCGAGTCTTTCAAGTTATGAATTGACTAGAGTACTACTTGGATTTAACTAATTTTCATCCAAATTTCGCCCAACTTTAGATTGACTATAAGCCCATCATTTCACGTCAAAAATCATAGAGCTGGTTGTAGAGGGTTTCGGCAATGCGTTCATCTCAAATAAAGATGTACATGTCTCCTTTAGAGTTATGAGACGTCGCATGCGACGTTGCCACATCAAGAGGCAAAGGAAAAGGGCAATAGGCTTGGGTTCGCATCAGATATGAATTATCTACTTTATAAGGGGCATGATATAAGTGGTGCAGTTGCATTTAACCCACGTGGTCCCCCTCCCAAAGTCCTCCATGACTATGACTTTAATGGCAAAGAAGAAGCTTATGCCAATGAAGGGTTGCTGTTATTGTTGTTATTAGGGTTAGGGAAGATGTGGGTTTCTAGCGGCATGTTGAGTTGGTGGTGGTCCACCTTGAGATTGGTGCTAATAATATCCATCACAAATCAAAGAGCTTGATACTTCCATTGAAATTACGAGATATCGAAACCCAAAAAGTTGTGTATACATGTGAGACCAAGAGAGATAATTATATAGGTGTCCATCTCAAGCTTCCCATCATATTTATGGAGAAGTTAGCTGATGGCTTAGCTAATTTGCATTTGGTTTGGGAAATTTTCTTTTTTGTTTACCATAAAGTTATGTTTGATATGCATGTATGGTTATAAGATTCGTCGTGGATGTTCATTCTTAACTTTTTATTTTTTCAGAAAGAAAAAGAGTGTGACCAAGAGAGAGAAATAGGGGTAGGAGGGTATAGGGAGATAGTGATTTATAGTGGGATGGCAAAGAAAGGTAGAATTATGAAAGAAGAGAGAGGCAGTTGAGTTGGGGCTGGAAATTAATAATTGCAAAGCGAGTGAAGAGCATGCTGCCATGCACGAATGAAGCAGAGACTGGGTTTTTGGCGCAGAGAGAAGCCAGAGAGACTGGCGAAAATTATATCATTGAATTACTATATCTGATTAAACTCATGAAAATCCGCAGTCACAGGCTTTTGATCAGAACCCTTATAACCCTCTACAACAACGTTGACTTAAGCTGAGCCTCTGTGTGTGAATGAATCTCAGACACACACACATACACAAGAAACAAGTACGTTTCTGGTGTAAAGAGGGGACATTAATTTTGAGCTAACGAATGGTTAATGTGGGGCATAAAAGAAAGGTCTTACAAGAAAAAATAAAAAATAAAAAATATGGGAGGTAGTAATTTAAATAAAGCTAGCAAAAGAAAAAAGTGTGTTGAAACATCAAACATGGATTTCTAAATCTCGAAGTCAAATGCCCGGAACCTAGACACCAACCTTGACCCCTAAACCTCTTACCTGAGTTTGTATAAGCCAGACACAGAACCTGAGCACCGAACCCCAAAATTAAGCCGCTCAAGGCACCATATCTAGGATGTATGTTTGTGATAGACCTAAAACCTCGACTCTAGCCTTTGGTGAATTGCAGTGGAAGCTAAATAATTAACAATAAACTATATTATGAACTATGTCATGATCTTAAATCACATACCAATTTGTACTGGAATACTAATTCTTTCCATTTGTGTAATATCTGCTTAACATTTGGTGAGGACCACTTTTTACAGAATCCCTGCAACAGATATAAAACAGCCAACAAAGCTATAAAGAACCAACACCAACTACTAGTACCTGGTCCTGGAGAGAGAGAGTTACCAGTAAAGTAGGGTCATTTCTTTCTCTCCCAAATTTTTTACAAAATAAACTTACTAAGGAGGTGCCATGGTGAATGATGGGTACACGTACATGCAATTGAGAAGAAGAGGCAGATCGCAGAGAAAAAGTGTTCTGAAGAATTTGGTAGGTGTGCAATGTTAAGCAGGTAAAGCCAATTATTATAACATTTATTTTGCATATATTATCAAGTATTAAATATATGTGCTAAGTACTTTTCTGATTTTTGCTTTCAAGAGAAATTTTGATAAATTACTCTCTACACTTATAAGATTATAAAAAGATAAATGCATTTTCTTTTCATAATATGAAAATAAGACCTATATATACGGGATGACTTGTCAATTACAATCAATCAGTATCATCTTACAAGACTATGATTTAGAAGTTCGTCTTCCCACGCTAACAGAGTCTATCAAATAGAAAATGACATTAATTTACAGACTAGTGGTCTCAGACTTAAAATTCCATGACATATTGATAGTGTGTATGAGTGTGAGAAAACCCCCTAGAAAATCTAATCGCTTCTCTTTGAGACAACCCTACAGAAAATCTCTAGCTGCTGCCCCCCTTGGGAGTCGATGACCACCCTTCTAATTATTTTCTTCTCCTCTTATCCCTCTGGATTCTTTGTTTTTTGTTTTTTGTTTTGTTTTGTGATGTAGAAGTGTCGTTGTCATGATATAGTTGTCGTCCTTTAGCCCACGCATGAAAGGATTTGGCTCTAATTCTCAATATGTGATATATATATTTGAAATTACAAAGCGGGGATGATGCCGAGTTGCGTCGTGTTTGGGTTTAGCCAGTGCGACACTATGGGTTTAGCCGGTATGATGCTATAGCTTTGCCGGTGTAGATGGCTTAACACAAGCCATGATGTGTAAGTCCCACATAGGAGAATATAACATTAATCTACAGTTTAAATATAGGTGGTCCACTCCTAATTACACCGATGCCTTTTAAGTTAAAACCCCACACCTAAAGGTCCATTGGGTCTACTCTCACTCAAGGTATTGGAACTAGTTGGTTATGGTGGGGATAATGTCGGTGCATGGTTTGGATAGATAGATAGTAAACTCCTATTGGGCTCGTTGATACAACAATTGGTATCAGAGCATGGTTTGGCTAAGATGCACTTGGTTCAAGATAAAGCCATTGACATGTTCAAGGAGGTGACTCAAGTAAAAATTATTGGACCAATGGAGAAAGGTGGAGCAGACTAGTAGAGCAAGGTAGCGGCTCGATACAAGCCATGATGTGTGTTAAGTTAGCTTTAGCAAGTTTGATTTTTAGCTTCCTTGGACAATAATGTATTTGCTATTGTATTTATCCAAGCTCAAGTATAATTAGTCTAAGTTAGAATATGTTGAAGGAGTTGACAGTGACTGAGACAAAGTGTGGCTGATTGCAACCTTGGCAAAGATAAAATCATGCATTGCATATTTTAGGTTAGGTTGAGTAAATATGATGGCTAGTCCTGTTCAAATATGTCTTGCCAATATGATTCTTTAGTCCAAGTCAAAAGTCATAGTGTTGAGGAGAGCCTTCCCAATCAAAATAACAATGTTATCATTGGTCCTCTAAATCAAGGGGTTAGAACTAGCCAATAACTAGCTAAAGAGATTAGCCATGGGTGCTGTGTCTGTAAGGAAGATCCTAAGAATGTAAAAGAGGCCTTAAAACATCAAGAATGGTTTATGGCAATGCAAGATGAGTTAAATCCGTTTGTTAGGAATGATATTTGGTACCTTTTCCCTAGGCCATCACACTATAATGTTATAGGTACCAATTGGATTTTCAAGAACAAAATTGATAAACAAGGAAATGCTGTAAGAAATAAGGCTAGGTTGGTTGCTCAAGGTTACACTCAAATGGAGGGAATTGATTTTGAGGAAACCTTTGCCCCAGTTGCAAAGTTAGAGTCAGTTATTAGTCTACTACTAGCCATTGCTTGTCACTTATAGGTCAAACTTTTTCAAATGGATGTCAAAACTGCCTTCTTGAATGGAATTATGAATGAAGAAGTATATGTTGAGCAACCAAAAGGTTTTGAAGATCCACATCATCTAAATAATTTTTTTAGACGAAAAAAAAGCTCTATATAGTTTGAAACAAGCCCCTAGAGCTTGATATGAGAGGTTATCCTCTCATCTTTTAGGAAATGGCTCTGTTATATGTTAGAGGGCTAGTTGACAAAACCTTATTTGTGAAACAGTTCAAGAAAGATGTTCTTATTGCTAAAGTATATGCGGATGATATTGTGATTGGTTCAATCTCAGAGTTTCATGGACAAGAATTTATTCAAGTGACTAGTGAGTTTGAAATGAGCCTTGTTGGTTAGCTTAATTACTTCCTAGGTCTTCAAATTAAACAAAGTCAAGATGAGATTTCTATATCTTAATCCAATATGCCAAAAACTTGGTCAAAAAGTTTGGTTTGAAATTTGCCAAAGTTGCTAGGACTCCAATGAGTACAAGTGCAAAGGTGCAAAGAGACTCAAGTGGGACAAGTAACACTTTATAGAAGCTTCTTTACCGCACTACTAGTCGACTTGACATAGCCTTTAGTGTAGGTGTATGTGTTAGATTGCAAAGTGATCCTAAGGAATGTCACAAGTGCAAAGGTGCAAAGAGACTCAAGTAGGACAAGTGACACTTTATAGAAGCATGATAGGAAGTCTTCTTTACCTCATTGCTAGTCGACTTGACATAGCCTTTAGTGTAGGTATGTGTGCTAGATTTCAGAGTGATCCCAAGAAGTCTTACTTGTTTGTAGTCAAGAGGATCGTCAAGTATGTGAATGGTACAACAAACTTTGGCTTATGGTATACCTATGACACTAATTCTGACTTAGTTGGCTTTAGTGATGTAGATTGGGTTGGTTATAGTGATGATAGGAAAAACACTTCTATGGAAGCTTTTTATGTGGCAACAACCTTGTTGCATGGCATAGCAAGAAATAAAATTATGTATCTCTGTCTACTGCAAGGCAGAGTATGTGGCAGTTGGATGTTGTTACACATAACTCCTTTGGATGAAACAAATGTTAGATAATTATGGTATCTCTCAGTCATCTTTCTCATCTATTGTGATAACATGAGTGCCATTGACATTTTAAAGAATCATGTGCAACACTCAAGAGCAAAACACATTGATATTAGGCACCATTTCATTAGAGATCTTCTGGAGAGCAAAACATTAACTTTGGAATTTATTCATGACTAGAAACAACTAGCAGACATTCTAACTAAAGCTCTGGATTTTCAAAACCATGTTGATATTTGAAAATCCATTAAGTTTATGCTTTATTAAATGATTAGCTACTTTGTCTATATACTTTAGCATTTTGTTTTTTCTCCTACTAGTCATAATACCTCTTCTCCTCCTACCAGTCCTTGCCCATCCACATCTCGTTCTCAGAGGTCTATAACAGTTGGAAATATTTCCAATTTTACCTCACCTAGAGCTATGGATTTCTTTCATTATGTGGTGTTAAACAAGAAGTTTGTTCCTGAGCGTATTGACAACATTTAGGCTCTCCACGTTTATGATTGGAACTGTGTTAATCAAATGTTCAAACATTAATTGCAATCTCAATTCTCAATCTAGTAAGTGTAACGCATCTATTGTTAATGAATTATATCATAATTTTCCAATTTAACTTGCTCTTACAAAGTCTCGTATATCTGTTAGAGACCTGTCCATCATGTTTCCTCATGTTGTGATTCATAAGGTTTTAGAATTTAGGTCATGTCCTTGTACTAGCTATGATTCTTATTTTGTTGTTATCTATCAATATTCTATTAAGCAGTTTCAGAGTCTTGCTTATGAAAATCCTTCCCTTCTCTCACCAGCAAAGGGTTTCCTAGGAAATCTATTTGAAGCCTTTTTACAATTCCTTTGAGATTTTGTGCGTCATAATCTTCTACTCACTGCTAATAATTCCAATCCTACTCTTGGTAGATGTCAGTTGAAGCTTGCTATGCTTAATAGAGCCTTATTCCTTTTGGAGAGATCATATGTCACTTAGTTCAGACTAAGACTGTTGGTCATGGAACAAAACACAAAGAGTCACTTCTCTTTCCATGTCTTATACATACCCTATGTTGTCTGAAGGGAGTTAAGTTGAACCCCGGTGATGTCTGGCATGAGGCACCTGTTATTTATGACTCATCCTATATTGCTCTAAGTGACAAACTATCCACTCAACTATCCAAAGCTTCGAGTGCCTCCACTTTTTCCTTTTCACATATTTCTATGCTGAAAATGACAATACAAGATCAAGCTTATGACCTTATTTATTTGAGGAAGTTAGTTCTTTTTGTTCTTGGTGCCCGCTCTTCTCTGTCATCTAATCTATCTGATACTCATGCTAATCTACATGATGTGGTTGTGGACACTATTGGGAATTTGGTTGTTGAAGACTTTGAAGATGACTTTGTGGAGACAAACTTTGATAGATTTAAAGCCTCCATGGAATTTTCGTTTTAAGCAATTGTCACGACTTAATCTTGTATTTTGCAGTTTATGTACTCTTGGAAGTAACTTTTGTAAAGGGTGCACCATGGAGGTATGTTGGTGAAGAAGGTTGCATAGTGAGGTAGTGCTCTAGTCTTAAATAGATATAGGTTTCTTTGAGCTTGTGAATACCTTTATTGTAAGAATCTTCTTAACATAGTGGATTGCCTAGTCGGAGCGATGACCTCTAATTTTTCCTAGTGGTGGGTTTCTAGGTAAACATGTTTGGTGTGAATCTCTGACATGGATGATGAATGTTCACACACAATGCATCTTAGTTGTTGCTAGCACAAATGATGCCTAGATTGACGGGTCCTTTTAAGTGCTTAAGTTGTCACTTATTCACGTTTAGGCTTGCAGGGGTATGAGACTTGTGTGTGATTGTGTGTGCTAATTGTTGTGTGTTCTTAGGTCTATGACTAGTTGTAGGCTAGTTATACATTTGTTAGAAATACTTTATGTGTAAGATCTTCTAAGTAACTTGATTATAGTTTAAATTTACCCATTCCACCTAAGTACCAATTTCAATGTGTAAGTCCCACGTCGGAGAATATAATAATAATCTACAGTTTAAATATAGGTGATCCACTCCTAATTGCACCGAGGCCTTTTAAGTTCAAACCCCACACCTAGAGGTCCATTGGGCCTACTCCCACCTAAGGTATTAGACCTAGGTGGTTAATGTGGGGAGAATATCGGTGCATGGTTTGGACAGGTAATGAACTCTTATTGGGCCTGTTGATACAACAATTGGTATCAGAGACATGTTTAGCTAAGACGCACTTGGTTCAAGGTGGAGCCATTGACATGTTCAAGGAGGCGAATCAAGTACAAATTCCCGGAGAAAGGTAGAATGGGCTAATGGAGCATAAGCTCAAGAAAATCCTAGGTGTAGGTTGCCCTGGAGGATGTGGAGCAGTGATCTTGTTTCTTGTTTATTTGTCTAATAATTCCCATGAACTCTTTAGGAGTTTGATGTGGTTTGTTTTTTGTTTAGGATATTTTATTTCCTTTTGGCTTTTGACTTTCGATACAAATTTGCCGTTTCTGTAGTTGCGAGTCAAATCTTTATTGCAAGTTTGAGTATATGTGATTATGGTTGCTGATTCGGGGATTTTAATCATTTTTTGGGTTGTGCGTATTCTTTCCAGATCAATTCAACTTGTTCACTGGAGAAGTTGTATCCATATTCGGTACCTTAGTTGCTTTGTACTTGTTTTTGTTTATCTTATCAATAAAATATTATTCCTCTTTTATCTAATTAAAAAAAAAATACAAATTTATAAATAAACCCAATCCTAGACATGTATTTATAAAAAAACCAAAGCACTATTTAAACATAGAAACACACCCAAAATCAACCCCAAAGTCAACTTTTGGGTGTGTTTATAAATGGGTTTTGAGTGTGTATAATGATGGGTTTTGGATGTGTTTATATGTTTAAATGGTGCTTGGGTTTTTTTATAATTTCAATCCCCATTTTGGGTGTTTTAGTGAAACTCCAAAAAAAAAAATAACTTGAAAATGATGTTCGAGCAGTTCAATTATAGAATATAAGAAGAAAAAACATTTGGAACTCACATTTGGCATCGGATTCAGTTTAATTATAAGTACCAGTTAATGAAGTAACATATTTAATTTTAATATCTGATCATTTATATTGTACGTTCTCAAACTTTAACTCTAGCTAACACCCTAGTACGTTCTCAGTATTTAGAGCCCTTCGATTAGCCTTCCTGCTAGCCTGGTTTTCTACAAATAGGCCCTACTCTATATTTTTTGTTTTTCATTTATTAGCTTGATGATATATTTCAATAATTCACTGCTTTGGATTTGGACCTAACGTGCATGAATATATATAGTTTTTATTTATTTATTTACAAAATAGGCCTACTTTATTTTTCCATTTATTAATATGCTTATGTTTTATTGCTTCTTCCATCTTACATGAATATACTATATTAAGCTTTGTTCTAATTAAAGAAATATATATATATATGTTGTTTTCATTGCTTTGGAACGTAATTAAATAGATTAGAAAGTGTGTGGAAAGAGATTATAGTTATAGTTTCACAATTATATACTCTAAAGAAGAAGTTCCTAGTTTAAATCTCTCCCCAAAGTTGGTAATGGATTTAAAAGTAAATTAGGAAGTACTTAGTTATCAATCCTAGCTTTTTTCCCTACCATATGCCCTAGTATATATGTACCTTGTCACTTTGAATGTCTTGATTAACCAATTAACTCATAATTTCATGAATTCCTTATGAGATTATTAATGTATCTAATTAAATTCATGCATCCATCATGTACTAAAATCTCCCCATCATCATTATATCTTTTAGAATTCATTAATTGTTAATTTATTAAACGTTAAGTACATTACTATTGTAGATAATGGAATGTCTTTAATTCTTGACAATTTTTAAATTTTAATTTTACAAACGATGTGATATTTATAAAGTTATTTTTACAAAACTCACCACGGATATGTATAGTTCTTGTTTTTTTTTGCCATGATAGTTTTCGTATTCATGTCAGTCGAATATGATCTTTTATGACCAAGTGAAGATAAATACCACTAAATCAGTGACAAGTTGGGTATGTACATAATTGATTGATTGATAGTTAAAAATGACATTTTTCTTTTTTTTTAAAAATAGATAACACAAGGATTTAGGGTAGGATATGAAATTGTGAAAAAGTATGGGGATGTAACAACAACTTTCCCCTTAGTTCTCCAATCAAATAAACCAAAAAAAAACAAAAAACAAGTGAAGGAAGCAAAGGTGCATGGTACTTTGAGAAGCCAAAGCCACTCTCAAACTTGTGGCCTTGTCAGGGTTCACTCTCAGATGGGTCAGCCCCAATTGTCCATCATCATTCAGACTCTCACCCCCCTTTTATAGGCCCCACACCATCCCTCCTCACCCCCACATACATCACCCTCTCCCCTCCTCCTCCCTCTCATTTCTCCTCTCCCAATTTCTCCATCTCCTCCTCCTCTTTTTTCACCACACCCAAAACTACACCTCTCTCTCTCTCTCTCCAAATTTTCATGGACAAGGTTGAGAAGGAGACTCAAGACTTCATGAACGTAGAGTCATTCTCTCAGCTCCCCTTCATCCGCCCGGCCCCTCCCGTCAACAAAGAGAAGGGCATCCGCCTCTTTGGCATAGAATTCGGCGCAGACACCCCCACGGAAGACTCCGAATCCCTCGACTACACCAATGCCTGCGAAGACGCCGCTGCAAAAGAGTACAACATCAACACCACTACCGTCACCAACAGCAACAACAAAAGCAGCGAAAGCGGAGGCGAGAGCAGCCGGAGATTTGAATGCCACTACTGCTGCCGGAACTTCCCGACCTCCCAAGCCCTCGGGGGCCACCAAAACGCGCACAAGAGAGAGCGGCAGCACGCAAAACGCGAGCACCTCCAGTCGGCCATGGTGCATGCCGGCCACCACGGCCTATCTCACGACGCGCACCACCACGTGTACGGCTTAATGAACTACACAACTTCTAGGCTTGGGGCTTCACCTCACCATCACCATACTGCTTACCCATCTTGGAATAGTAGCCACTCTAGCTCCATTGCTGGTGCTCATCAACATACTAGGTTTTACGGAAGCTCTGGTGGGACGTACGGCACCCAATCAGCGCCCATTAATGGGAGCCCTTTGGCCCTGTGGCGGATCCCTGCAGTTCAGGGTACTACTAACCCTAGTTTCAATCGTGACCGTTCGATGAATTTGTTCGCCGGCGGGGAGGAGATGAAGGCAGCAGGGGTCGGTGGGACGGGCGGTCAAGGACGGTACGTGTATGACTCGTCGATGGCGAGTGTGCAAGACCATGTGAGTTTGGATCTTCATCTGTAATAAGATTAAGGCTTCTATGATTTGGATAACTACTTTAATCAATTAATTAATTAGTACTACTTTAGAGGGAAAAAAAAGAGAGAGAGAATTTGATGATGATGAGAGAGAAGGGAATTAATTAATTAATTGTTTTTAATATATAATCTCCTGGGATTAATGCAAATGAGGCCAATTTTAGGAAATATTCCTGCTCATAACATCAGTCACAATTTTTAGTACGGTTTCAGTATGTAAATGAGGAAATCATGTATTTGGAGAAATCTTCATCAATGTAATTAAAAATAATCAGGAAGCAGTACTGTTCTTGACTCTGAAAGCAAAACTTACTGTTTACAGGCAAGGAAATTGCTATTTTTGTGAAGCAAAATTTTCGTTTAGATTTCGTTCCATCAGCAAAGTTGGGTTCATTTCATTCACAGCAATTTCTCTCTCTTCTTTGAGAGGGTATAGTTTAACTTTTGTTCACACGTGTGAGGAATATATGGCATCAGTTAGGAGGTGCATGGGCTTTTGTAGATACACACGTGCGGCTATGTCGATGTATTTGTTTGGTTCTCTAGACAGGTGGGGTGATGAGAGAGGTGGAATTTGATTAGTGTATCACACTGCTGCGCGCACACACACACACACTCACACAGAAGAAAGATGATGATCAGGTGATAAGGTTTGGTGATAGTGTTCTGTTTTCTGCTGCCTCAAAATATGCAGAAAGAAAATGATATATCCATGGAATTTGCAGGTTGCATTGCTTCCTGCTACATTTTAATTTATGTATTTTTGCTTATATTCAGTGCAATTGATTTGAGAGAGAGACACATAGAAACGGAGAGGCAGAGAGAGAGAGAGAGAGAGAGAGAGAGAGAGAGAGAGAGAGAGACATTTATCTTGTTTCTATTATGTGAATGATGTGAGCCCATCAAAGTTTAAATTATGTCTTGTTTCTACTTAATGATTGAGGCAGAAACCTCCTCATTCGTGACACCAATGGCTCAGGAGACAGAAAAGGCAACTAAATTTACTTTTTGGACCTTATTTATTTCTACGCAATTATATTTACACTTTAGATTTGTCATTCTGCGCTACAGATCGATATCTTATTATCTTAAATCATACACGAAAGAAATACGTGTGGTACAACAATCCGGGAGTGTGAAATCCCGATCTTGATCGTACTTGGTTGGTAATATAAGAAACAGATTTCAAACAGTTCTGATGGAAAAAATAAAAAGAAAGACAGAAGGCACTGAAAAATCAGAAGCACTATAGTATATAGTTGTAATATCGAGTGAGACCATGAATTGGGGTCATTCAAAAATAAAGTAGTAGCATGATAGGCTAGTGAAATACCAAGTTTATGACGGTCTACAACTAGGGATCCAATATGGAGTCACTTCTATGTGCCTTATTAGAAGCACATTTATCATCATTCAAAGATAGCAGTACCAAAATTTTCATGGCTTTAAAATGGCAAAGCCAACCCTCGGCAAAAGCATGTGCCCTCTTTGCTCTCTATGAAAGACCTTGAAGCAAGGTATGATCAAGATGGTAGTTAGACTCCCTTCTTTATTTCCCCTTCTCTTTTGTACCTTTGCTTTAATTTTATGTTTTTGAGAGAGAGAGAGAGAGAGAGAGAGAGAGAGAGAGAATTGTGGTAGGTGGGTTAATTTGAGGTGTTGGATAACATAGGTGTGAAATGTAGAGAGTGAAGAAGAGGACAGGAGAGGAGAGTATGCATTTTTCTCTTTCAACAATAATTCAGTTAGGACTGATGGAGTTTAATCAATCATCTATTATATTGCATGTGTAGGAACACTTTATGGGTCAGAGGATCTTTTTTTCTTTGGCTTGATAATGGATTTAGCTCAATGAATCCCATACACAACTCACCACAACTCTCATATCATCATTATTCAGATGCTATAAAATATTGTTCACTTTCGATGTCGGGATTTGTGTTTTGTCTCAATCTCTTGCCAAAAAAAAAACTGTTCAACGGTTGTCTCTATTTGTTTGTTCCTACCACTATTTGCTTGTTTGTTTGTAAGTGTTTTTGTTAATTAACTTACAAAATCCAAGTAATTAAGGCTCTTAATTCATTTTTATAAAAGCTTTGCTTGTGGAACAAGCCAGGTTACTTACTTTTGCAATGTAATCATTAGTTAGTTAACATCATAACTATCACATTACACCACTTTTGTTGCACTAATTTACACTTCAAACAAGTTTTCCATTTCTGGGCAGCAATTTGATCTAAATATAGATTTGCAAAGCTCCAAAGCCAGTCCTCCTCAGCAACCCGGAATTGGGAAAATGAGCTGTTCCCAAATTTCAAATTCCAAGTCAGTTTGGTGGAGATTTTGTCTTGAAACCCAGATTGAGAGACTCTTTCAATAACTTCCTATCTAATAATACCCCCTAATTCTATCCATTCCTGGTTTTTCTTTCAGGCAAGCATTGTACAAACAGCCAAAAGAAATACCAAAAGAAAATATTAGTTACTTCCTTTTTTTTTCTTTTTTTCTTTTTGAGTTAGGGGACATATACTCTTTGCTCCTTGAAGCAGGGCTTTGAATAATTTTGGTGTATAGTCCAAATTTAAACCTTGGAAATATAAACCAGTAAAGAAGAGAAAATAGCAACCTGGTGAGGGTGTTTTAGTTCATCCTGTGGGGTTGCAAGCATCAAAAGGGAAATAATAAGAATAAAGCATTAATGAATAACCCTTTTCATGTGTTTTAGAGCTTGTACTGTTCATATAGCATTAATATCTTTTGCCAAACAGTAACCAAGCATGTACTGTTCAATGTTAGTATATTAATTTACCACCAAAAAAATATAATAAAAAAACTTTCACATGTTTTCTAGCTCAGTGACTTCCATGTTTTTCTCCGGAAAGGTTTGAACGAGGCTCTCTTTTAGCATGCTAGTTTTTTCTCATGTATTGTTTCTTATGTGTTTGACGAAATATCATCTTTTCTAAATAAAAAAAATTGCATCCCAACTCTTACTGTTTAATGGAATTATTTCTTCCTATAATAACCTTGAGTATATTCCTGTCTCATGTTAGGTGGAGCAATCTAAATTACGGATACTAGAAATGGTTAAGATGTTGACTTTGTGCATTAACATCGAAAGTAGTATATCAAAACATTTCTAACGGAAACATAATTGAAGTTGTTGCAAAAGCATCCATGTAATATTTTTCTTAGAAAGAATTGAGTGTTTCCTTCTTTTAAAAATAAGGTTTGAATGGTTTGAGGAGGCGCCTGACATTATTCAGGACTCTTTTTATTTGATGCTTGTAAAAAAGTCATGTACGTACCATATTATACGCTCATATTTATTTTAATGTTCAATAAAATTGCTCTCATACCGTCGAAGTTTTCTAAAAAAACAAAACAAATAAACAAAATTAAAAAAAAATTAAAAGGAAGGAAACAAGGGCAAACTTGAGACTATCCCATGTTGATGTTGTAGAATTGCAAAAAAGAAAAAAGAATGAAAAAAGCAAGTTGCTATCAAATATGAATATAGCAAAAGGGTGCCTCGTTTTACATGAAGAAAAAGAAGGCACCCAAATAAGAAAAACAGTGGTGGCAGAGTTAACGTCAGTCCAACTATCAAAGGGGTCCACAAGTAAATGCAAAATCTAAGGGGGCATGTGATGAGGAGGAAGAAGAAGATGATAAAAGGTATAATAAAGACATTTCAGACTGAAAGAGAGTACAAACAAACAAACAACCATTGCAATTAGGAAGAAGAAGGACCACTTCTTCTTCTTTCTTCTGCTTCTGCTTCTGCTTCGGCTTCGCTCTCTCCTCTCCTTGTGTTTGTATTTTGCATAAGAAAAATAAAATAAGAGAGAGAGAGAGAGAGAGAGAGAGAGAGAGAGTGAGTGATCCAGTGAGCAGTAGAATTTAAGAAACATCGGCCCACACCTCTATAAAGCTTGCAAACGAGGTAGACAGTTTATACACTGTTGTGCCCTTCTCCTCATTTGAATAAATAAAAATAAAACCCTACTTGTCTTCATTGAATAAAATCAAATTCATCATAACTCAAGATGGATACCTTGCAGACGTCCACATTTTAGTGTCTTTCGTAGAGAAATGTTTCGTATTAGACTACGTTGACAACACAAGATGTTCATATGTGGATCATCAATGAGTTTGATTCCTACTTGAATGTGTAGTCTAGATACGTTACTTTCATATGCCAACATAAATTTGACAAGAGAACATTACTCAACATTACTTTGCTAAACCATCCATGAGAGAGGACTCATAAAATTATGGTTTACACGCATTACTTTGATGAATATCATCATGGAAAAGGAGGACATATGTAGTCGTTTCTCTTGTTTGTACTCTCTAAAATGTGATTAACTTTTTTTTTCCTTTTTATACAAACTATATATTATGAGAAGGCTCAAAGGTAAAGGTAACTCCTTTGAACCATTTGAGTTAAAAGACGTTTACAACTTATAATTATCTTAATTATAAGCATAGCATTCAGTTTTCATAATTTATTCAAAAGAGTAGAGTAGAATGTGCACGTTAAGTCTTATTTTGTAGCTGAATAACCAACTTAATATTAAAACTTTCATGGCATCTTGACTTGCGGATCAGTGGTCTCAGGTTCAAACCCTCATGACATCTTGGTAGTGTGTGTCTGAGAGAGAGAAACTCACTCCTCCTTTTAAGTTAGACTATTGCTTATAATTTTTATTTAAATCATCACTATTAAGCCACCATTCGACATCACCCTCAAGAGGAAACAATAAACTAATAGATGAGATTCTCATAACAATATACATACAACGAAAATTCGATAACTTTTCTATAGTCAATTTAGAAATACAATTAAAAACAAAGTAATCATTTGTAAAATATGATTAGCGTATCCATAAACTTAGGTCATGGATAAAACCTTCATACATGTAACTATTTAGCCATGTTCAACTATCAGAATTGAATTGAATTAATGACATGTTTACTAATCCGTAATTGGATTATGAAGAATTGAATTGATGTTGAGTTGGATTGAGAATAATTAGGTTCCAGATTCCTATTGAAGTTGTTTACTAAACCATATAGATTGAGGAGAGTTAGATTCTAGATTCCTATTGAAGTTGTTTACTAAACCATATAGAAATAGGGTAGAAGTGATTCTAATTCCTAAAATGTCATCGTTGTTGGGTTAAAATACATGGCAAATTTGTAATTTTTGGAATTGTGTGAGGATATAATGGGTAAAAAAAAATATGAATTCCTAATGGGATAGTTCTTTAGGAATTAGAAAATCACCTTCCACCCAATAATTGAATTCCTCCAAAATCAAGAATTCAATTCCTAATTTTGTGTGGGCCCTATTTACTTTTTAATTCATTGATGGTGAAGTAAACGTAAGAATCTTCCATATGTGGAATTCAATTCCTGGTGAGAATTCCAATTTCTGATTAGTAAACACACCACACAAAAAGATAGAATTAGATTGCACAGTGGAATTATGATTGAATTGACTATTATCCCATTCATAATAACTATTCTACCTACCAAACGAGGCTTTTGGATTTAACCCAAGAGGAGAATTCTACAGTCTACGGTCCCATGTGAATGGTGGTCATAGGGGTAGATTAGCATTTGCATTAAATGCCAAACAGGCTTGTTGAGCATGTGGTCGCATCCGTAGGTTCTGTTAGTTGTCAACTCTCTCTCTCTCTCTCTCTCTTTGTGCTAGCTAAGATCGCTACCAAGGTAACTCAGTGCCCTGCTGTCTAAGCCATATTACCTTACCCTACCTGTAATAGTTACACAACTCCAGACATTCCCATAAAATCAATTCAAACAATACAATGTACATTCGAAAGAAGGATGTTACGGTCGGTCGCTTACGTGTGTATAGATCCTTACACGTAAATTCTTGCATTTGATATATTGAGCCTCACATGCATCAACATTTAAAGATCGCATGCGCGGGTCTCACCGTGACATAACCCATGTGCATTCTAGTAGCTGGAACTAAATTTGTAATGGCAAGTACACTTACTCTACATCTACGATAACTTCCACGGTAAATAGTTTCGATTTTCAGTTTACTATTTTAACCTTTAAAATATTATTCTTTTGATATTAGTTTTGCTAAAATAAAGGGTATTTTAGTGAGATACGCTATACACTTCGAAGAATTGACACTGGCAGCTCAGGTTTTTTTCTTGGTCTAAACCAGTAGTATCACCTGGCAGCTCAAGCAAGTCAATAATATTTCATCCAATATCCAACCAAAAGCAATCAACTGCTTTACATTTACTTCAGCAGTAAGTAATCTTTTCATCTTCACCTTTTTGAGGACCCCATGGTTGGAGAAGTAACTATACCTCCAGGTTTGAACTGTACTGCTCGACGTTTATGATGCTTTCTGCTCAAAGCTGAAATTGTCTGTAAGGACAACATATGCCAATTCGTGGCTTGCATACTTCTGTACTTTATGATGCCTCAACTACTTCAAAGGTGGGCCTATGTTTGCTGCTACAAATAGGAACCTATAATGCCTCACCCACAAGCACAACTGGATTTGAACAAATTCCTCAGATTTCACTTGAGCAATATCACAAGCTATAATAAGAGCTCAAGGTAGATCTGTGTGTCTCAGATTTACAGTTGCTTTCCCCACAGTATAAACACCAATTGCGGTCCTTACTAATATACTATCCTCTTCGCACGCGCTTCCGCTCTTGCGAGAGGCTTTTTTTAAAATTTTAAAATTTATTTTAGAATTAAAAAAATAATGGGTAGTTGTGTTCCACAAAAATAAGACCTATTATCTAATTTTGTTTTAATATGAAAATATCTGAATTTACCATATTATCCTCATTTAATTAATAATTTCAATTCTTAATGTTTGAATTAACCAAGGGCATTTTCTGGTATTTTGAATGTTTCACCATTCTCTGCCTTTTGCTTTATACATATAGATTATGACTTTGGACCTTGAATTCCTGTATCACATTACGGTGTCATTGTCACAATCAATGGGTATGGCATATACTAGCAATCCTTCGTGGATGAGATTATGCGATGTGATGACAATTTTTCCAATCAATTTTTACCTTATCTTCGTACACGTCAAACAAAATAACCAAACTGCGGTCAATGATGTAAAATCATCTGGATAAAGTATTTTTTACTCACTAGAATAGTAAATCAAAGAACAATTGTAACCATAGAGAACCTAGAATTACATGTATATAATAACATCAATTACAAAATTGTAGTAGAATCTTTAGTATGTGCACCTGCAAGAAATCATCAGAGTCTTTCTTGCCGAGAGCGGGAACTGTGAGCTTCTTCAATATGCCGAGTGAGAAGTGAAATCCCATAGTGTGAGGCACTTGAGGTGGCATAATAGGAAGTCACAGTGAGTTGAGTAAACCTTGGAAGTGCATAACCTGCAGAATCCCACATTTTCAGGGAATTGAAAAACTTTCCTCCTAGAAACTCATGTGTATACAGTCCTTTATAACATGGAGTGGCACATACTGAATCTTGTGTCAACTGATAAACTCAAAACCTAACGCAGATACAAATTGCAAATTCAATTACTGCTAGTTAAATTAGTCATGGAATTCTATATCTCAAGGTCTTACAACCGAGCACTATGAGATTGGATTGTGTAGGCAGCTTATTGACAGACAAGGTTATACTTGTATTGTACCCAATCTCAAAAGACTATGGAAAGAAGAAGACTTGCATACCAATACGAGATGAACTTCAAACCATTTGGCTCTCACTGTCTTGAAACTATGCAAACATGACCTATAATATTACTCCAACAACGATGGTTCTAGCAATGCCACCTGAAGTGTGCAAGATGTAGAACCATTTATCACTTACAATTAGTAATTGCCTTTTTCTAGGCGACAGCTATTCTGAAGCCCCTACTCATGGGATTCAATGACACTAGATTCAACCAATAAGAATTGAATTTTCAATTTGAGGTAGAAGGCTGTTTGCAGTGGTTTAACCCAATCAATAAGAAATTATGGCATGGAGATATGTGATCCATGATATCCAGGTGCTTCAGTAACTAAGGCAGGCCCTTTGTAATTGCAAGTCTTTATTTATGTATTATATGGTAGAAACTTCATAACAGTGGAGATTAATGTTCATGCTACTAATAGTTACAAAATATAAAGGACAACATGTCATTTTGACCATTGACATACACTACTGCTAGAAGTGTAGGCATCCATACGATGCCAGGCCAATAGCCATGCATGGGCACAATCCCACATATGTAACTATCCCGTGGACAAGTTGATTCAGAAGAACTAGAATGTCATCTTAGATTTACTGAACTTCATAAATTTAAAAAAGTTTAATTGATTTTGGTCATCATTTACGAAATACAAGTTCTTCAAGAGACCTAATCTACACTAACATTTTTAAAAAAAGTCTTTGTCAGCTGTATATGGGGAAACGTCCACTATACCCCTCTTACATTAAACGTTTACCTATCCAAAAACTAAATTCACTGTGGTCATTATACATTACCCTAACTACCCACCATGCCTCCACATGCTCATTTTTTCTCTTTCTACAACTACTGCCCTCAAATTATATGTGCATCGTGTGTGCGTGAGCCATCTAGGCTTTTTTTAATTATATATATATATATATATATATATATATAAGTGACATACTGATGTTACAATATCATAAAAATGCCAAATGAGACTGAAGTTAAGAACATTGGGAAAAGATATTTAACTCAGGGTCTCAGATATGGAGAAATGTATTATATACATAGAAGGAACTTGACTTAGTCTAAACTAGGTACAACCAAATAAGTCAAGCACTTATACTTTTATAGTACTTAACCAGTCCATGGCTGCTAAATGAGCGAACCATTTAATAAACAAAAAACGAAAAGAGCAACAACAAAGAGGAATGTAGAAAGATTGATCACGATCCCACACTAATGTAGACTTCTTTTAATCAAATGGAGAAAGGCAGGATTTTTACCTCCAAATGCAGCACTGGCACCCGAAAACAGTAGCAGTGGAGGAAGCTGTAATTGAAAAAACAAAAGTGAGCTAATTTGATGCACATTAAGAATATGAATCTTTTTTTTATAAATGCCAATATAACTTGAAGTGCATGGCAAGTTAAAACAACAGGGATATGAGACCTACCCCAACTAAGAAAGGAAGCCACTTTGGGCCCTTCAGTCGATTCTGAAGGTATGGGATCCCTGCAATCAAGTAACACTAAGCAATTTGCATACGAAAGCCCATAGTCTGCAAAGACAAAGGGAATAAAGAATACCTGTATTGAAGCCATGAATTGCACTAAGCATTCCACCAATACCAGAGCCAGCCTATCCATACAGAAAATACCACAAAAGGTTAATCACTCGCATAACAAGCCACATCCATATTACCAAGTTTATGTAGACAGTCCAATAAATATACACTGAAACATGATCTTTGTATATACACCTAGACCAACGACCCTAACATCACGACAGCTTTCAGGTACTACTTCTATCGAATGAATCAACCGTTCACCATGGGTTTATGCCCCATTATGGACATTTAGTCAATGTCAATAACATATTGTGATGCAGATTACATTAGATGGCTCCGTAGCTAATACCAACCAAGCACATAAAAACTAGCCAAGGAGCATCGTTAAGATCAGAGTTACACATTTAAATGTTGTAAATCTTTAACGTTCAGAAATAAATGCTGCAAAAAAAACCCAATTCAAAAAGTGTTCTACTCTAAATTTCCATATCAAAACCATGAAAATTTTCACAATGAAAATAAACTGCTACATCAAGAAACTAAATTTGGCTATAGTGGGTAGCTGATAAAACGAAAGGGAACCAACTTCACACAAATTGGGGAGGAAAAAGAGAGAGACTTACAACAGCAGTGGCGTCATGAAGAACAGAAGTGATGGTCCATTCACCCTTGTCCTGAAATATCAAATAAAACAGAGCCAAGTCAGTTCTTCCAACTGTAAAATCCTCATAATCAAATCCTCAAACAGGTAATCTGCGTTATGGGTTGGTACCGAATCATGGTCCAGGAGAGAGAGACAGCGAGGGCAGCGAGGGGTGCCAAGGCCTGGATTCATGGTGGGATCATGGTGCAGATTCCCACTCCTCAGCTTCTGCTCGTATACCTCTCTCGTCCCCATATTTTTCAACTCCCAAGCGGCCAAATCCGCGCTCGCACACCAGTCCTAGGCGAAGAAAATGTAACTGGTTCAGTGTGATAGAATTCATATGGCTAATACAGTGCACTGTTCATTAAATAAACCAAAGCCCCTTGGCCCAATATCATATGGGTCTCAGTTTCACAAAGCTTTATAAAGTAATGGGCTTTCTAATTATAAAACTGGACTTTCACAAAGCTGTAAAAAGTAATGGGCTCTCTCGCCGATTGCCACTGATTTGAATGTTGATTTGATATCATCTGTGATCGTCTATTTTGTTGGTCACAAAAAGATGTTTTTGTGGTCTTCAATTCGTCTATTTTTTCGCAAAGATTATCTTTAAGTGGAGACTTCAAAAATAATTCAGATGATTGAAATAAAATTCGTGTATGTTTCAAAATTGCATATTATGGAATTATGTTCTTAATCAAACAATAATGAAAAGGTGGCAACACTTTAGAAAAATCAAACTACAATGTTCTTAATCCAGAAACACATAAAATATGAACAAAAGATGAAATAAATAGTGTGATCACATAAGTCATGCTTGTACAACTTAGACATAAATAAATGATTGATGACCTACTGACCAAAATTTTGCGTGATATAAAAAAATAATGCTTGTTGGAAATTGTATGTTAGTGTAAAATAAAAAAAATTATGTTTGTTTATAGTATAAATGGAACACTGTTTTATTTATTTATATAAATATTGTTTTATTTGAATATTTTAATTTATTTAAGATATTTGAGTGAACTAAATATACAAATCAAATTAGAACTCTTACACAATGTGCTTTAAATATCCTTAGACGCATCAAAAAGATTTATTGTGTTAAATGTAAGTGGCAAAATTCATGCAAAATACAATTTGGTTTTCTTTGGTGTTTGTTGTTGGTTATGGCGTTTATTGTTTATTGTTGATCTAGTCTTTTCGTGGAGCGAGTTAAGGAAATATATTTCCCCTATCCAAAGAGAGAACTCTATTTCTTCTATGGCATTTTCATGGCAAGAGCTTGTTCGCCAAGTTCGAACTCCCACTTTATCATCGATGACGGCACTCTTTGATGCTAGCAACCGCGTTTGATCATTTCCCACACTTCTTTCAATTTCCTTACATTCTAACTGAAGGAGAGACTTTACATTTACTTAGAGAGGTAACAACCTTAAAGGTAAAGACAAGCCATCCTTCTCTCAAGATTGAACATTTGCTTGGCATGCTTCCGGTTGAATGATGACAATTTCCTCAAATGGAGCTTTTAACTTGAATCGGTGCTCGAAGGTTACGAATTATTTGGTTATTTTGATGGTTCTCTGGTTCCTCCACCGAAATTTGCTATTCTTACATTAGAGATCACAGCTGCATACAAGGATAAAGCTTTGCTGAGTCTATTTAAAAGCCTAAAAATTCAAATATAATACTAACATAATAATACACATTGCATTGTAGTTTATATTCTATAAGCCTAACAAATACCCATATAAAAGTAACATAAAAATACATACTGTGTCTCGCAGTTTATATTTTACAAATAACAAATACCAATATAGGAGTAATGTAAAAGTACACTGCAATTTCTATTCTATAAACCTAAAAACACACCAAAGTAAGAGCAACATAAAAGTACACCATGTGTTGCAATTTCTATTTTATAAACCTAAAAAAATACAAATATAAGAGTAACATAAAAATACACATTGTGTTGCAATTTATATTCTATAAACCTAAAAAAAAATTACCAATATCAGAGTAACGTAAAAGTACACACTATATTGCAATTTAAATTCAATAAACCTAAAACTACCAATAATATAAGAGTAATGTAAAAGTACACATTGTGTTGCAGTTTCTATTCTATAAACCTAAAATATAAGAGTAACATAAAAGTACACAATGTTGTTGAAGTTTATTATATATAAAAACAATAAAAAAAAAAAAAACCAAAAAAAAAAAAAAAAAAAAAAAAAAAAAAAAAATTTTATTATAAACCTAAAAAAATATCAATATATAAGATTACAATAAAAGTACACAATGTGTCGTAGTTTCTATTCTATAAACCTTTGATTGTTAATATAAATATTTGTAAATTAGCACATATCACAAAAATAAGATTGGTGTAGTGGTTTGCAATTGAAGATTATCCTTTGAGGGTCAAGGGTTGAGTACCTTCAAGTACACAAAATTTGCTCCTTTTTTTAGGGTGAATAAAGGTCAGCTAAGGTGGTGGTGTCGGGTGCTCAGCAGGCGGTGGTCGATGACGGTGGGCGATCGGCTCGCAACAGTGGGCAGCGGCTGGAGGTGACTCATCGGACATGTGGTGTGTAGGGGGGGGGGGAGCCTAAAACATGATTCCAGCGAGCCTTTTTGCCCGGGCTGGGTGTGGGCTCCACAAGCCTGGGTTGGCCCTTAAGCAAAACCAGCCCTTGCTCTAGCCTAGGTTTGCTGACGTCAGCAACCAAAAAAAATTAAAAAATTAAAAAATATACTAATAATTTCATAATTTTTAAAAAAATAAATACTTAGGCATATTTTTCACTTCCCACACCAAAACTCTATATAAATTCTTTTCCTCATATCTCATATGAATAGCGGTTGTCATAGCAATGGGTGAAAACACAACAAGTCTTTTGCAAGAGCTGTCACTATTCACTTGAATAGTAATAACCCTTGTCTTCTCTTACCCTTTGCCATGGCAAATAGGTGGAAGTGCTCTAATGAATGACCAACATAGAGAAACCGTAAATACTTTTTAAAAATACGTACATTAGTCGTACTTATAGGGCTTCAGATACTATAAAGACCAACTTGATTCGTTCAGTAAACTAATCAACACGCGTGCAGTTGCTTTACTATAACAATTGATTGCCATTTTCATATTTCTACACGAGCAACACAAAAACCCAAAGCCCCACCACTTCCACCAACCACACTATGACCAAAAAAACACTGTGAAGAACATTGTCCAGAGAAAGAAAACAAAGCAAAGCAGCAAACAAAAAGTCAATAGTGGAAAACGAACACATCATATTCAACAAGAGCATCTCCACTTGTTGCATTGAACTTGAGAGTCCTTGCCTGAACATAGCCACGAGCAAACCGAAAAACCCCACTTCCACCAACAATTGGCATCTCTCTCACAGCTTTAACCACCGCGTTTCGACCAAAAACACTAAGGCTGCTCCCATTAAACTTACCTTCAACAAAAGCCAAGTTCATGGTCATCAACAAAGCATCCTCACTTTGTGAAGCAGACCCATAAATCCCTTGTGCTCTTCCCACAAGCTTGGAGCTTCTTTCAGGGCCCACGGTTAATGGGTCATCAAACATGGCTATGGAGCCAAATAGGGTTGGGGATTTTTTGGATGTGGGTGTTTGGGCAGCCCAAATGGCGGTAGGGTTTGGACCGCTGACAATGTCATGGAAGTAGAAGTGGAGGTGGCTTAGCTTCTCTTGCTTGTTGAGGCCAAGTGCTTGTAGAGATAGGTTTTGAGAGAAGTTTGGTGATTTTGAAGTGACCATGGTTATGAAGAAGAGAATAGTTAAGGAAATGAGGAGGGATTTGGAGTTCTTGGCCATGGTTGGGAAAATGCAATTTGGAAGTATTGTGTTGAAGTTTTGCTCTTGTGCTTCTGGCTTTATACAACCCTTTGTATATTGGGGTTGTGGGTGGCATTTATAGATTATTGGAGGACGTGTAAAGTGAGAGAAAGCAAGTATGGTGGCATTGTCATTGTGACATAATCGTTTCGACAGCTGATAAGCTCACCTGTTTTATTATTAAAATGTTCATTTGAAAATAGTATGTTTACACGATTTTTAAAGGGAGTTGATTTTCCAACTCTCTTTTGCTTTTTAATACTTTTTGATACTTTTTAATACTTTTTAATCAATTTTGTTATTTCTCTTTCCTATTATATTCTTATCCTACATTAATTTCTTTTTACTTCACTTTTATATTATTTCTTTTTCTTTATGCTTAATTTTCCAACTTGCACTCTATTTTTTTTTTCTTTAATCTAGTAAGAAATAATTAACATTGTATATTTGCCTAAGCAAAATTACATGGCCCACATGCTGCAAAAACTCATGCCCCAGGAATAAACCTTGCAGCCATAGTTTTTTATTTTTATTTTTATTTTATTTTTATAAATTATAAATTTTTAAAAGGAAACAAATTTTACGTGGCCACAAAGAAACAAAAATGCATCTAACTACACATTTTTACATTTTCTTTTTCCATGTTCTTCTCCCTCTTCTCCCTCTCTTCTTTGTCATAATTATTTGGAAAATAGATATTAAATGAAAAAAAAAATTGATGAACTTGTGAACATGAATTGAGTTCTCTGAATTTCGGAAAATGAAATTGAGTTTGAGACTGAGTTTCAAATTCACATTAATGGAGTTCTCTTTGTTTCATATGAGATAATTTCATACCTTCATTTTGTTTGGGTACCTTATCAGAAAGTACAAACAACCAGGGATTGAAGAGAAAAAAAAAGAAGAAAAAAAAAGAATTCTTCTCATAGAAATAATTCGGCATTCTAAGTCTGTAGGGGAATTCAAAAGCCTGAGTTTTGTTGTTATAGTGATGATGGAGAAATCCAAAAGCTTGGGTTTTGTTCACTCTCATTGATTGATTGAGTACTCATATCAAAACATTAATGAAGGGTGATGGTAGAATATGAAAGAGTAAGAACAAAAAAGAACAAAATTGATTAAAAAGTTTTAAAAAGCAAGAGGGAGTGTAAGTGGAAAAAAGAGGAGTGGGAAAATCAACTTCCTTTTCAAATACAAGATTCCTACAGATTTTATATGTTAATTGAGATTGTAATGAATTTTAATTGACTTTTATAGACTACAAAAACTTTTACGGGATTCTGTATGGATTTTAATGGAATTTGTTAGAATTTTATCATAGAATTTAGTGCATTTTCATAGACTTTTTCTATAGACTCTCATGAATTTTTGGGTGGTCCACTCTTTTCTCGAGTTTTTATTTATAAAAAAAAATAGCCAAAATTTAACCCCCAAATTCATAAATTTCAGTTTTTTTAAAAAACTTTCAAATATGGTCAACAACGCACTTAAATTGATCCAAATGCCATCTAAATCTATATATATAAAACAAAAGGCAGAGAATGGTGAAACATTCAAAATACCAGAAAATACCCTTGGTTAATGCAAACATTAAGAATTGAAATTATTAATTAAATGAGGAGAATATGGTAAATTCACATTTTTTAATATTAAAAATAAATAAAATTAAAAACAAAATCAGATAATAGGTTATACTTTTATGGAATATAACAACCCATGATATCTTTTCTTAATTAAAAAATAAATAAAAAAATAAAAAAATTGGCACATGCGTGAGCATGTGCCAAGGGGCTAGTTAATTATAACTCAATTACACCTAACATGCCAAGGGGCTAGTTAATTATAACTCAATTACACCTAACAGCTAAAACCCAAAATAGTAGGAGCATAAAAACAAAATTGGCTTCGTCAATTCAATCATGCCTATGAATCCTATCATAAAAACAACAATGTAATTATAAAAAAGAAGAAGAAAAGGAAGAGCCAATGATTTCTTAAATCCAGGCAATAAAAATCATCTCTACGACTATGGCTTGAATCGGTGGGCTTGGGAGTTTTTTTACAATTAAAAAAAGTTAAAGTCAATTTCTTGACATAATAATTTTGAATCAGTGGGTTTGGATATTTTCTCATGAACTCTTATAAGTTACAGAACACATATGTTGTGTGTAGTTCATCTTTAGGTTTCTTGCTGCTTGTTGTCACAAGTATACTTACCACCTGTAGTTTAAGATAGTTTCTTTATGGTATCACTGAATGCAGATACTTCAAAGTCTGGTATTGCTCGGGAAGCAACACAGAATATCAGAAGAGCAAGCAAAACTATGGCTGAACCAAAGGCAAGGCAGGTTCTAGGTGTCACAATAGCCTACAGCTCGGAAGAGCATGACAATTAGCCTTTTGGTTTAGGGTATAATTTAGAGAGCATTTGGGTCAATTTAAGTGAGTTTTTAGCTATATTTGAAAGTTTTTTAAAAAACTGACATTTATAAATTTAGGGGAGTTAAATTTTAGCTATTTTTGATAAAAACTCCGTTTTCTTACACGCCATGTGAGCCTTATTGGAATTTACCTAGTGTGGGCCTGCAGTTCCTATTACAAATATTTTAAAGAAGTAACGATAAGCCATTAACATGAAAAGTTTGGAGAAGTTGTTTGATATGCTCGACAAGAAAACCAATCTAGACTCTTTCCTTTCTATTGCTACTTCCAATCCAAGCCCATTCTCAATCATTTCTCTCAAATCCTCTACCTCTCTTCTATTAACCTCACACCGAAAATTAACACAAACGGTTTGTATGTTCATGTTACAACCAAAAAAAAAAAAAAAAAAAAAAAAAAAAAACAAAATCTCCAGTTTTGAAGTCAACCTGGTGAGTGCTAGCATGAGCATAGCCTCGGGCGAACCGGAAAAGCCCGCTTCCGCCTACTATCGGCATCTCCCTCACTTCAGTTAATAATGGAAGACATAAACATTATACTCCACAACAGCATCTCCAGTTTTGAAGTCAACCTGGTGAGTGCTAGCATGAGCATAGCCTCGGGCGAACCGGAAAAGCCCGCTTCCGCCTACTATCGGCATCTCCCTCACTTCGGATAACACGGAGTTGCGCCCCAGCACACTCAGGGTGCTACCATTATACTTCCCTTCCACAAAAACAAAGTTGAAGGCCATCAAGAGCCCCAACTCACTCTGTGAAGCTGAAGCATAAATCCCTTGGGCTTTTCCGACAAGCTTGGAGCCCAGTTCAGGCCCAACAGTCAATGGGTCGTCCATCACGACCACAGCACCAAACGCAGTCAAGGAAGTGTTTGTTGTGGGTGCCTCAGCAACTCTAACAGCCGTAGGGTTTCTGCCACTCAATATGTCATGGAAGTAGAAGTGGAGATGGCTCAGTTTCTCTCTCTTTAGACCATGTTTTGACGGAGATAAGGGTTTTGAGAAACGGTGAGCCTCTGCATTGGCAAGGGTTAAGAAGAAGAAGAAGAAGAGGAAAATGGTTATGAAAATGGTGTAGATGGAATTGAGGTTTTGGATGGGCTTGGCCATTGTAGAGAAAAAGCAAAAAGGGTTTTAGGGTAAAGGATCAACGGTTTCATTTTGGCCAACTCTGATTATATATAGTGAAAAAAAATGGATTAATTAATTAATAAATAATTGGCATATGTAATATATGTATTTTCTTAAGGGTACAAAAAATGTGGAAAAGAAAGAGGGGTGACAAAAGTCTAGGCTGAAAACAACCATAAGTCTTCAATCAAGAAATTTATTTTCCATTCTTTCTGCTTATAATTTCCACGATTTGGTAGGAAAAGGAGGCTTCAATGCATTAATTAAATGGTTAAAAAAATTCTTGTGGTTTACAACCAACCGACTAAAAGATCAAAAGGTGCAAAGGACCATTAGTATAGTGGTTTAGAAGTTTATTCTCTCAGGCAAGATCTTGGGTTTGAATTCTAACATCCGTGTAGTGAGTTTATTATACTATTGCTCCTCTCAATAGGAAAAATTCTCAAAAAAAAATTAAAAGGTCAAATGGTGTGCGTGTAGAAAGTGCAGAACGAAATGAGAGGGAAAACCCGGGTGTTAGCTAAAGACGACTAAAAACTGAGAGTCTTCTGTGGAAATATGCAATTGCATGCCAGAAAAGAAAAGTGTATACAAGGGGCAAGAAAATGGACCACAGGCGACGAAACGTGCCCCAAGTCTATTGGAATAATGCAATTTTGTGAGGGAAAGAAAAGAATAGCATGATCCATGCCTGATGGTTCCATATGTGGTCCTCATTCCGAGTCTTCTACATGGTCTTCACCAAAAAGTTGGAAAAGTGTCTACCACGGTTTGCAAAAGCTTTTACTCTGTATGGAAGGATGGTAATTAGATTGACCTTGGTGGCTTCCATGGGTTCATCCCAATTTAACTATATGCCAATTTATCCTGCACTTAAAGTATTGTTCTCCGTCCACAAGTTCGGTAATGCCTTTGAGTACTATCCTTAAGGAGGTCAGGGGTTCGAGTCTTGTAAAGAACCTCATGAGGAGAGCTTTCCGTAAACAGTGATCCGACTTGGAGTGGTAGCCCACTAACTACCATTTTATGTAACCAAAAGAAAAGAAGTCATGTTCTCGATTCCTCACCCAACATCGCACGTAGTAAAAGAGAATGGTAAGTATTTTGGTTTGTGAGAATTTTTTTATTATAGTTTAGTGGTACAATACTTATCATCTCATATCTAAGACAAGAGTTTGATTCTTGCCATAGTTAAAAGTGCCTGTATTAGAAGAACATCGAAATTTCAGTTAAGTGCTTTCTAGAAAAAACCACTTGCAAATGCTTCTCGAAAATTGTTCAGCTAAACACATTTTTTAGTTATTAGAAAGTGGTTTTGACTCTTCCCGAAGCATTCTCAAACAGAATTTTCACCTCAATCTTCCGACTAAAAACAAAAAAAAACTCTATGAATGGAGCTAATTTTTCAGACTGAACTGGGCCTAGATAATAACTTATTTTCTTTCTCTAGCAAGACCAAGACACAACAACACCTACCTTTAGGTAAATGTTGGGTCAGGGTTCAGATTACAAGCCCAATAAAATAAGAACAAACCAAACTTTTGGCCCATTATTCTTGGGCTAGCCCAATCAAACAAAATTCTTCTTATTGACACTACAAGCCCAGCCCACATCTCAACCCCAAAATGGGATCATCGAAACCCTACCCGCCTCACTCACCGCACATACTATAAAAGCAAGATAACACACCCACACGCACCCTCATCGTCTAGGGCTTTAGCAGCCACTCTCAGAAAGAAACCTCCAAACCTTAGAGAGAGAGAGAGCAGCTCAAAATGCCGGCTGGACACGGTCTCAGGTCTCGTACTCGCGATCTCTTCTCGCGGGCCTTCAGGAAGAAGGGTTACATCCCTCTTTCAACCTATCTGAAGACCTACAGGATCGGCGACTATGTCGACGTCAAGGTTAACGGCGCCGTGCACAAGGGTATGCCCCACAAGTTCTACCATGGACGTACTGGTCGCGTCTGGAACGTCACCAAGCGCGCCATCGGTGTGGAAATCAATAAACAGGTGATTCATTTTCGTTGGGTTTTCTGTATTTTCATTTTTGGACTCTGAGTTGTTGTTTGAATGATGTTTCATGATTTGCTTCTGTGGAATGGTTGTCTGGATTTGTGGGTTCTTGTTGAAATTTCCGAACTTTTGGTTTGATTTCGACTTAATAGTGTTCAGTGACATCTGGGTACATTATAGCTATCATTGTTGTGGTTGTTGTTAGGCGGAAATGGGGATTTTATGTATATGTTTATGTGGTTTGTGGGTTTCAGATGGTTTTAGTTTATAGCTGCTAATTGTACTGTTGATGTCTAGATTATGCTGAATGAGAAGCTGGGTAATACACCTTGTTAGAGAATGGCTTATTGTATGTCAGATGTTTATAACTCACTGCAAGGAAGATCGAGAAAAGTTGTCAATAATGTTCAGCTTCTATTGGGAAATAATAGCTATAGAAAGCTTTGTGCAGATTGTATATAGTTTATGCATGTCTGCTGGATGTGCTATGACGTGTTCGAATCAGTTTTTCCTTTATGGATCTTGAAATTAGGTTTTTAATTTATTTTCACTTGTGGAAATAAAAGATTATGTAATTTAGTGATTCTAGGAAGAACCATTTTTGTACAATGGAGATAATGTAGGTTAATCCTTTACCTGGATCAATCCGGAGCTTTGATTTGAGCACTGTAATTTTGATCATTGTCATAAATCTAGTTTCCTTTTGTCTCATGATTTGAGGAATTCTATCCTGCTTTTGCCCTGATGCTAAATGATTGTTGTATGTTTTATTTTGCAATTGATTATTGGAAGGTAAGTTGTATGCTTGTGCATGATATCAGGTTGGCAACAGGATCATCAGGAAGAGGATCCATGTGCGTGTGGAGCATGTGCAGCCTTCAAGGTGCACTGAGGAATTCCGTTTGAGGAAGATAAAGAATGATCAGTTGAAGGCTGAGGCCAAGGCAAAGGGTGAGGTCATTAGCACCAAGAGGCAGCCTAAGGGACCCAAGCCAGGTTTCAGGGTTGAAGGTGCAGTCATGGAAACTGTTACTCCCATTCCTTACGATGTCGTCAATGATCTTAAGGGAGGCTATTAGATCTATTTTACGGTTGTGTTGGTTATCCCCAAGGACTGGTCTAGTTTATTAAAGTGTTTCTTTAGTATTGTTTTTTGAAAATTTTGAGGTACTTTCATCTGTCGCAGCAGAAACTGCTTAGTTTAATGTTTTATGATACATGATGTTTTCAAGTACAATTTTGTGCGAATATGGAAATCTTCTGGAATTACCTATGTTATTTGTGTTTGTGCTTAAGTTTTTTCTGATTATTCCCAGCCCTTGGTTTGCTTTAAAAGTGTTAGAAATAGCACCTCGTGGTTTTCTTTTTCAATGATCGAAGTTTAATTTATCACTCTTTTACACCTATATTTGTTTTAGATTGAATTAAATTCTGGGCTCTACTGTGTCTTTGTTAATTGTCTTAATCTAAACACTGACACATGGTTTGTCAAAAGTCATGTGAATTTTTTAAAGGTTAATAAATACTACGTTGCTTACTTTCTATGCAAGTATGAACTTGAGAAACTTCAGCTTCAAATGGTTCTTTTGGATTAATGAGCAAATCTTAAACTATTTAATCCGTGTAAGTCGTGAATTTTTGATTCAGCTGGCATTGTTTGCTCTGCACATGTATGGTTCAGATCTTTCACCCTCTATGGTCTTACGGGATTTGAACGCATGACCAAGGACCATGTTTTAACTGTAATCTTTCATCCTCTTATCGCCTTACGGGATTTGATCGCATGACCAAGGACCATGTTTTAACCATAATCTTTCATCCTCTATCACGTTATGGGATTTGAACTCATGACCACGATTTATACAAATCGTCTTTGTCCGTTTGCAGAAATTCTTGTAGGATGAACTCCCTATAAGATAGAATCAGAAGCATTTAATCTATATAGTCTACCATGTATTGGTTTAAGAAAAGAATATAAGGTGAGCTGGGCTGGGGTTCCAACTTCAAACAGAGAAACCTTGCTTTCCAATTACTCTTGTTAATTTTGTTTTCTCTCTCTACCTAAAGGAAAATTGGTTTTGTACCCCCCAAAAAAAAATTTTAAAAAAAGAGAAGGAAAATTGGTACCTTTACTTTTGTCGCTGACCAAAAGATCTCTCTCTGATTGTAATTATCCGAAGTATTTTTTTTCTGAGAACTGATTCTCTGTCTCCGAGATAAATAAACACAGCCCAGTTTTCTCTTCTTTTCAGAATTTTCTGTAAGAATCTTGGCCACCGTATATAACAAGACATCAGTCTTTTTTAAGGACTCTTTTATCTTACAAATTAATTACAACGATGAAGCTTTGAGTTTTTTTGGGTACTGAAGATGAAGGCATCCTTCACATTCTACCCTATCCTGCTATTTCTTCTCGTCTCAGGTACCTTCTCTCTTAACACCATTAACCTACTGCTTTCAATTCTTTTCGTCTTCTTCATTATTTCGGGGTCTAGACTCATAACTTGCATAATTCAGCTATTGGTTTTTTCCCCCCATTTTAATTGAGCAGTTGAATTTGGCACTTGCTCAGTGGTTCGTGGCGATGCACACGCCGTGAGGATCCCGGAGCACTCGTGCCATAAGCTGATTGATCAATCAATCAGATGCGAGCTGCAGAATTGCATCAAGGAATGCTCCAAAGAACCGTCTGGTGTCGGAGTGTGCAAAAGTAGAGTCTGTTTTTGCACATACTATTGTAAGGATCCTCCAAAGTGACTATGAGTCATTTCATTGGGGCCTGAGGACACGTACATACGGGCTATAAAAGGAATATCAAGCACATGACATTGTTAATAGTAGGAGATTTACATTCAACTTCTTGTTTATGTTGTTGTTCACTAATCACATTTGCCTTAATTATAACATAAACTTTGATCCTAACATGATCGATTTGGATAACCGAATTCGTTGAGCTTGGGTTGGCCTCTTTACCCTCTTCAACTTTTTCTTCCTTTTCATATTTTCTGAGAACCCAGAACACAGAAAACTGACGAGCCTACAAAATTTTGATTAATTTTAGCAACATTGGGAGCAAATTTACATGACAATGAGTTGCCTGAGAGCAGATCGATTGTGTTTGCAAACATGCAAGATCCAAGCTCCAGTTTAAATACCAGCCTGAATGCACAATCAATAATGCGCTGACAAGTAGTCGTATGGCAATTTCGGATACATGCAGCACAAGAAAAGCAACAGATCTTGTAATTAGAAAGGAATGAAAGTTTAATGAAGGATCATTATATATATGTGAGAAAAAGCAAAATAGTTTCCTTGTCAGATCAGGCGTTGTCAATGTACATATTTTGCCACTTTTAATGGAGGGATGACTAATTCGAAACATAGGACGGGCGACCGTCAATCCATGTTATAGGCATAACATACACAACAAAACAAATCTTTCGGTATCAGCACACGCCAATCAGCCATTGTCAAGGCCCCAACTGGTAATAGCCTACCCGACCCCATCGTAAAATAGCTGCAACAGTAAGCTGCAAGCTGCAGGTGGTTAGTCTCTTGAGCTTCAGTCACCCAAGAAACATTATTATGATACAACAAAATACAGATCAGCTGCCACTTCACAGCTAGAGCCTCGAACTTGTGTGAGACAAGATCTATGTAAATTCATCACAAAGGTTATGCAATTTTAAACAGGTTGGGACTAAACATGGTAGTCTTAAATACCCTGAAGAAATTAATTGTAAACTTTGTTACCATTTCTCATTACTGTGGCTGCATATAGTTGAGCCCAGCATACAAGGTTTCATAGTTAGTATCCACAGTTCATGCCTGGTATCTGCATCCGGGTTAATGAATCACTTATGTGCAGCATCAGCTACAGGTAAAGACCAGTTCAACTTCTACCATCACAGCAATTACAAACCATTCTGGTTCATAACGAACTACACATCAATCTCATATGCAGCATGAGCTACACACAGGTAAAGACCCACTTACAGCCACCACAGCAACTAAAAACTCCTTTCATGGACTACCAGGTCAAACATTAAAATCCTGGAGTATATAACACTTTTCAGAAACAAAGAGCCAAACCATATTTCTTACCAAAATTTATTCGGTATGGAGAAAAACAGATTAAGTTATTGGCCCTGCAAACAGCTCTCACTGCCAAACAATCAAACTTCTAAAACCAGCATACCGCTGCAACCAGCACCACAATCACGACCATCCATCTACAAATTAGAAACAGCACCCACGGCTACAAATCAACATCCTCTTATCCAAGCCTCAATCACTCTTTTCACGAACATAACTATAAAACCCAAGAAATAGTTCGTGATGAATCAGTCCTATAAACTGAACCAGACAACTTGAGACCATAGACTCATATATCAGTAACAGTGTAAGGCGGGAACAAAAGTGAACAATAAAATTACACACAAAAATAAAGATGAAAGGCATATACACTAAGAAACCACACAAGCACATCCTTCATAAGTACTGAAATACCAAATCTACAAACTACAAAGTCCATCCCAGATCAATAAAGGATATATAAAGCTCAGCATTAAATAGTTAAATACTAAAGAAACCAGTCCTACCAAAACTAGCACTCAAGACACCTACTAAAACAACGCATTATGATCAAAGATCCCTGACATCAGCAGAGCTGCAAGAAGTACACAACTCAGGGTAGGGTGCTTCCATCATTTCCATACAACCAGAAACATCAATCCTGCAAAATCGATTCAAGAGTTACCAGTTCAATGCTCTTCCACCCATGCAGGAGAAAGTAATCATTCCAGAGGCAACAAAAACTGTAGACATCAACTCACATCAACATCTGAATTTCGAGGGGATGGAGTACGAGAATCAGCAGGACGATGGCGTGGTGAAATACTTCGAGAAGTAGGAGAATGTCTATCATGACTACGTCTATTAGGGGTGGCACTGCGGCTCCTGATTAGTGGGGAAGGACTCTTATGAGGACTAGGGCTACGCCGAGCAGGGGAGACACTACAATACAGATTAGTATATAAATTAAAAATAATCATAAAGGAAGAGCTAGTATTTGATTATGAACATAACTTAAATAATGATTAGCAGAGCTTAAAACCTATCAATGGAACGACTTCGAATTGGACTCCTACTTCGACTTCGACTCCGCCTTTCATCATCATAGCGCCCTCTTCTCCTGCTCCTATAGTAATCAGGGCTGGCACTGCGGCTCCTGCTTCGTCGACGATAGTCTCTATCCCTCCCATGGTATCTGTCACGGTCATACCTATCCCAACTCCTACTGCGACTTCTCCTCCTGTAGTCACGGTCTCTGTAGTCATCTCGGTACCTGGAAGATTTTAAATAGTACGTATCACACGTTCACTTGTATATCAAAGGCTTGTAAAAGAAATCAGGACAATTATTAATATGATCTCAGCACGAATTATGAAATAAAAACACATTTGGATTTGAGTAGAAACAAATTAACTAATAGCCATGATATTCACTCCCCATACCATACATTCAAATTGGCGAGTTAGATACATAAGATTGGTTAGAGACATTATTTCATATTACATTGTAAAATTGAAATTATAGAAACAAAAGGAACAATAGCAAGACTGTCTTTCTTGCTCAAGTTAAAAATACAGTTACATGAAAATGAAACTAGAAAATAATATCAAGTCAACACTAATTGAAGGACGGCATGAAATGATTAAACTAGACAATGGTAAAATAGAAAGTTCAGTTCAGGAACCTTCAAATTATATGACAGAATACAATCCATCACAAAGAAAGACCAAGGGAAGAAACTAACCTTCTCCGAGGACTGCGACTTCTTGACCTGTACCTTGATTTTGGTAGTGCTTCAGTAATCCTTCCTTTCTGACTGAAACAAGGGAGATCAGGTAAAGAACAGTAAATAGAAGCTACATAACAAACAAAATTAGCTTTTCAAGGTTCGAATTCACCATCAATGCAGTTCAAATAACGAGTTACCATCATTTCAAGTACAACTTCCTGTAAATATACACACAAAAGTGTTAACTACATAAACCCCCCAAACTCTTAGGCCCTTTTCAAGTTAACCCCGAACTATTTAGTGTTTACGAACTCATACACGAACACGAATAAACCTTAAATATGGACCATTCCATTAACAAATCTGTTAAGTGTCTGTGTGGACAGTGTGGTCCCATATGTCCGCTTACATTGACCCCAAATGTAAGCCGCATGTATTTATTAAAAACAAGTGGGCAAAAAAATAATAAAAAACTCTCTCTCGTCTCTATATATCTACTTCTTCCCTGTATTCTTTTTATTTTATTTTTATTACCTGCAACATCAATCATGACCAGTGAACACACCACCACATCTCCTACCATAATGGTAAAAAACAAACATACCACCACAGCCACCCCACCACCTCTACAATCACCACCATTAAACCCAAGACCACCACCGTTAAACCACAACCATGACCACTGCCACCCCACCAGATCTAATCCGATCCCGATGGCCCCACCTCACTACAACCTTCTGATGCTGCCATGAGCACTTACACACCACTACAGATTGCCCCGTTATTCATAATGTTTTGGTCACTTTTGAACAAGAAGAATAAAAATGGCAGATGATGTCACAACCCATTCCTCTGGTCCAGTCATTAAAAAAAAATGGAAAAATCTTTTCCTTCACAAATTTGCAGATCAGACACCTTCAGTTTTGGCTTGGAGGCATTGCAGGTGTGAAGCCAAAGCCATGATTATATGGGATCCTTGCATGATTCCATGCCAGAAACCCTTCTAGTCTAACAAATAAACTTTGGTTCCACAATCAAAACCCCTTGGGACCAAAATGAGGGCTTTTAAGTTTAGTTAAATAAAAAAGAAAAAACAATACATACAAAATTGCTAACATAAAGCAGAGTACAGGATTCATAGAAAACAACTGCAACCTATGCAACAAATAGTAAATAGACTAAGTTTTAACAAACAGTAGCAAAGCATATGGAGACCCTATTAGAAGTTCATAGTTCAGGTCCATACAGTACTCAAGATAAGCTTCAGCTATCATGAATCCAATAATAAGAAACATCCAAAAACGATAAACTTACATCCTCTCCGCATTTGGCCCATATTTTGCAAACTGAACAGTTATCTCTCGACCATCAACAACTTTTCCTGAAAAGTATTTAACATTTTCAAGACAATTAGGAAGCTGAGACAAATTTCTTTTTCAAAAAAGGAAAATTAAACCAAGATAAAAATAATAGGAATAACAATAATAGTAATGCTTCTAAAAATAAAAATGTGCATACCATCGAGCCTTTCAACCGCTTTCTGTGCTTCATCAGCATATTTGTATCGCACAAAAGCAAAACCCCTAGACTCGCCAGTCCTAAACCACAAAAGGAAAATAAATACCCAAATCCAGTCTTCATATAGAAAAACAATTTACTGAAACAAACACGACAAAAACTTAGGGGAAAAGGACATAATTCAAATTTGCACTTCCTACAAGTTCCTAGTCCTCCACTTTAAGAGAAGCTAAATTGCTCCTCCGAACACGACACACAGATGATCAAAAGCGTCGAATTCCCATATCTTCTCAGCATCCGTGAGAATAAGAAAAATAAGGATTAAATGGGATTACAAACAAGAACAATATCTTGGCAGTTCTTCATTGATGAATATTGTTTTCAAACATAACAAAGCTACTCAATTTCTCCGGAAACAAACATATTATAGGAAAAAATACACACAAAACAAAAAGCTTTATCCCAACCAACCTTCGGTCTCTGGGGATGAAAATGTCGACAACTTTGCCATACTTATCGAAAAGCGGAAACAGATCATCAGCGCTAGTACCTATTTAAATTAAATAAATCAACAAATTACCGCCATTAAATCCCAAAAAATAAAAAGAGAGGCAGCAGCAGAGACAGAGACTTACGGAAGGTTATGTTGAGGACCAGGAGAGAGTAAGTGTCAGCGATGTCGGGAGGGCCAGACCTACCAAAGTGAGACATGGTTCTTGCTCTGTAAGAGAGATAGAGAGATTGGGATTAGGGTTTGGATTTGTGGCGAGTAAATTTGGAGGGTAGAATAGAACCTTCCCGAAGAATGGTTGCGGTTCCCCGACTGCAAATATATCCAGGGATGAAGAGGAGTCTGGACCTCTTTGGGAGTTTTGGTGATTGGATTTTTGGATTTAGGGCTCAAAATCAACCCAAACCCAAAAACCTTTGGGCTATTGATTCCCCCAAAAAAAAACAAAAGGTACAAAAGAAAACCAAATTACACTGACTCGATCACACAATAGTATGAACCATTCAGTTTTACGAGGATCATTCGTGCAATAAATTGAAAAATACATGACCTACGTGCATTTTGAGATAGTTCTTAGAAAATGTCCGAAATTTTTAATTTAAACCAAGTACAAACTTACTTGAAAATTGTGTTTTTTTTTATACAAGCGATATTAGGAGACGAGGAATCGAACCTTGGACCTTTGAACTTGCTTAAATACTTTTAATTACTCAAGATCAAAACCCTAAGGGAAATGACCTCCAATGCCACCCATTTGCTAATTTTAACTAAAAATACCACCTCTTCCCAATTTTTTTACAACTAACACCTTTAAATATAAAATTATTGTCCACTTATTGTACCTATATCAGTTTTTCAGAAATTGGCTTCTCTCTCTCTCTCGCTCTCTTCGCTCTATCTCTTCGACCCATCTCTCTCCTTGGTGTACCTCTCTCTCTTCGACGCAATGCTCTTTCTCCGTCAACAGTGGCTGTTCATCCAAACGTAACTCCATCGTTGACATCCACGAGATACTGTTCATAACCCTTTTCTTTGAAATTTGGGGTTTTTGTGAATTTGGTTTATGGTGTATGGATTTGTAAGAAATTGGTTTAGGGTTTTAGTGTTTAGGGGTTGCTCAGAAATTGGGTTTGAGTTTATGGGTTTCAATGAACTGGGTAATAACTGACACCCACTCTCACTTTGTAAGGAACTAGGTGTTACAGAAGTATTTTCCATAATTAGCACACTAAGTTTGTTGGGTTCAGATGTTTAATTAGTAAACATAACCAAAGAGAGAAAAGAAAAAAAAAGTTGGAAAATAAATTGAAGGATAGATTTTGAAGGGCTAAGTCAGTTTGGTGCAATTGAAAATGTCATCATAGTTTTGCTAGCAAAATCTGGTTTTCATTCCCCCAAAAGCTAAGTTTTAAGCCTTCCTGGAAGAAGTGAAGCAGAGAAAGAAGGGGAGAAATAGATTCATCTATTGAGTGTTGTTTCTGCAACTTGGGTTTTGTTGATGGTTCTAATGGCAAAGCTAGTTTGCCATTCACATCTTCTTCTGCTCATCATAGTTTTCCTCTCTCTCCATCCTTCAAGCCAGCTACAACAACACACTCAGTCACAAACCCTTCTGAAGATCCAGCAGCTTCTCAACTACCCATCAGCCTTAACCAGCTTCAGCCATAGAAGCAACATCAGAGACTTCTGCAAAATTGAACCAACTCCATCTTTGACTCTATCCTGTTATGAAGGCAACATAACCCAGCTGCACATTATTGGCAACAATGGGTTTCCTCCACTGCCTCGTGATTTCTCAGCAGACTATTTCTTTGCCACTCTTGTTGGCTTACCAAGCTTGAAAGTGCTTTCACTGGTTTCTCTTGGTTTATGGGGGGCCAATGCCTGCAAGTATTGGGCATTTGTCTTCACTGGAGATTCTCAATGTAAGCACAAATTACTTAAGTGGTACAGTTCCTCTCCAACTTTCATATCTGAGGAACCTTCAGACTCTCATACTTGACCATAACAAGTTCACTGGTCAAGTTCCAGGTTGGCTGAGTTCACTTCCAGTCTTGGCTGTTCTCAGTCTGAAAAACAATATGCTTAATGGCTCTTTGCCATATTCTTTGGCATCTTTACAAACTCTCAGAGTTCTCTGCCTATCAAGTAACTTCTTGTCAGGGGAAGTGCCTGATCTCAGAAACTTGACAAACTTGCAAGTTCTTGATTTGGAAGACAACTATTTTGGGCCTCATTTTCCAAGTATGCCTTCCAAGTTGGTCACACTTGTGCTAAGAAAGAACAAGTTTCGCTTGGGAATCCAGACTGCATTAGGCTCCTGCTATCAGCTCCAGAAGCTGGACATTTCATTGAATGGATTTGTAGGGCCATTTTTGTCATCATGGTTGTCACTGCCTTCCATTAAATATCTTGACATTGCTGGAAATAAACTCACTGGACTTCTCTATAAGAACATGACTTGCAATTCTGAGCTTGCTTTTGTCAATTTATCCTCAAATCTTTTGTCAGGGGATTTGCCCACTTGTCTGAAAAGGGATTCTAACAGCAGGGTTGTTCTGTATTCTGGGAATTGTTTAGTAAATGAAGATCAGAAGCAGCACCCTTCTTACTTGTGCCACAATGAAGCTCTGGTTGTGCGAATACCACCTCCTAGTGAGGAAAAGCATAGGAGAACTTATGGTAAACACGTTGTTGCATCAAGTGCAGTGGGAGGTATGGGAGGTATTGTGGGTGCAATTGCAGTTGTTGGTTTAGCTTTCATGGCTGCTAAGAAGTTTTATAGTGAGCACACTACTAAAACTCCCCAAACAAGGTAATTTCAGATACAGTCTCAGCAGTGAACACAGCTAAGCTACTCTCTGATGCAAGTAAGTTTAAAGTTTCTAACTTTTTTTATTTTATTTTATTTATAAATATTTTTATAGTTGTTCCTTTTGGTACCAACTTTTTGTTGCTTCTGTTTAATGTACGAGGATCAAGGCTGATTTTGCGAAGAAAATAAATGAAAAAGGGAACTTGCTGTATAGATTAGCAACCATTTCCATGTGATCTTTTTATTTTATTTGAGTAGCATGAAGGTTATGATTTCCATAGAAGTCCAAGAACTAGACTGATGTATGTTTCCAGAAAATTCCAGGAAGAACTACTAATTATAGAAAATAGTTTCCAAAAACTATATTGCTACCCCCAAAAGACATATTAGTTTATTTTGGAGTCTTTAGGTTCGAACTAAGATGGAGAGAATTATATTTTATTGTACCACCAATTCCTTATAGTTTTCCTTGGATATTCTGATATTCAGAAATATGGAGAATATGGTAAATCTTGTTCAGGTCCATGCTTTTCAGTTTCAAATGAAGCATTTTTCACATGCTAATTTAGCGTGTTACAAGAATCTTTCATTTTTGCTATAATGATAAACTCGACAATTCTGGCTTATACATCCAGGAAAGCAATTTTTCTTGCTCAAATTGACTGCTCAAAATTTTATTCTTATTAAAACCCCAGGCACTACTTCATTCAAATTGGCAGTGGGTAAATAAATTAGCATCACTATTCCTTTTATAATAAGTCATAACACTAGAATCCTTTCTTTGCAGAATATATATCAGACACAATGAAGCTGGGAGCTAGCCTTCCTGCTTATAGAACTTTTGCTTTGGAGGAGCTTCAGGAAGCCACCCATAACTTTGATGATTCAACATTACTAGGTGAAGGTTCACATGGACAGGTATTCATTCTTTATAGTTGCAAAACAATTCTAACTAATTCAGTACATCGTAATAGGAATACGATGTTCTCTCTTAATTTGCACCTGCTTTCACATTTTATGTTTCTTGCTTATATAATTCCATCCATTTGGATATGCAAAAGATCCTTTGTGGATTGAAGAACCTCAGATAAGAGACAATATATATTATGTAGATGTTGAATTTAAATACAATTTAGGACAAGATACATTTCAACAAGCTTTATCTAACTACTCGGGAATAAATAATATACAGGTCGGACTAAATTACGATGGCTCACTGATGCATGGTGGGTTCTCCTGTGTGTCTAGGTTCTTGATTTTCATCTAGTCTCCAGTTCCTGGTACACAATTGAAGAACTACATAGTTGAAGCAACTTAAATACACACACTGACATATGTATGTGTGTATGAATGTGTATATAGATTTAGTTATCTCGATTTAATTTAGAGTTCATACTCCTCAAAAGCATGATGTAAATAGATTTAGGAATTACTTTGTAGAACTTCTGATATGCTTAAAACGTGAGACTTCTCCACCTTAAACAAGCTTCTGTTGAGTAAAGATTCCCTTTAAAACTCCAAGGTGGCCTCACATTTAATGAAAAAAGAGTAGAAATTGAAAGAGAACAAAAGACTAATTTTCAAAAGAGGTTGCAGGAGCCCATCTAGTCCTTTCAAGCAGCCTTTTTCAAGGTATGCTTCCAATTTAGGCGCGTCGGACACACTAACCTTATTATATCCATGTCATAACAAATAAGGTTACTTATGTATTTCCTGGTGTCCTTGAACCATATATTAAGATATGCTACTCCTGTTAAGTTATAATATATCAGCCTTTCAAATCGACCAAATTATTAAAAAAAAATCTTTTGAGTTTTGTTTAATTTGAATCAAACTTTCAACGATTGGATCGGATCCAAATCTGAAATGGTAATGGGAATTTTTCAAGGGGTTGTGAAACTCTGCTCATTCTGAGAAGATACTCATTGATGTTATACCATCAGATAGATCTTATGCATATTGCAATGGTTCGCGGAAAGTCTACTATAAATGTTAAAGTGGTCCAATACTTATTTGAATTTGTACAAGAATTTGGAATCTGTTTGTTCTAGTAAATTGTCCTATGCACTATTGACTAATATACTTTGTTCAAGAAATCTTGAGAGTTTTCAGCAAGCAATTTTCTCACTCTTACTGCTTCAAAATAAAATAACAATGCCAGATATATAGAGGGAAGCTCCCTGATGGAACCTTTGTTGCTATAAGAGGCTTGAAAATGAGAAAGAGGCAGAGTCCACAGGTCTACACACACCTCCTTGAGCAGATTTCAAAACTGAGACATAGCCATTTGGTTAGTGCTCTTGGAAATTGCTTGGAGTGCCATCCAGATGATTCAGGCGTCAGTAGAGTATTTCTTATACATGCCATACAGGTTGCAATGGAGAGTAAAACCCCACTCACTACTTTCTTCTTCTTCTTCTTTTTCTTTGATTGATTTCCTCCCTCACTGTCTTAGCATTTTCAGCAATTAAATATTCATTGCTAACACTTGGTTTGGCAGAAGGACCTCCAGGACGGAAGCTTACCTGGCCGCAGAGAATAATAGCTGCAATTGGAGTTGCAAAGGGTATTCAGTTTCTGCATACAGGGATTGTTCCTGGTGTTAAATCAAATAATCTGAGGATAAAAAATGTCTTATTGGATCACGATCTTCATGTAAAAATAAGCAGCTATAACCTACCTCTTTTGGCTGAAAGCAGGGGAACGGTAAGACATAAAAAATATGTATCTGTTTGGGTGAATGCATCACCCTTGAGATTGTCCTGACTTAACTTTTGCTTTTTAATCCTTCAGATGGGCACCACAGTTTCTTCTCCGGCACTGAAAGGAAGCGTTCAAGCGAGGTACTAACATGCTTAATTTCCCAAAATCATACAATACTTTTCCAAAATGAATTCCCTTTTCATATTTATACACAAATGAACAAGACAAATAATTTCTCTGAAAAAAAATAAAAAAACAATTGTAAAAGAGAAGGTAGAATCCGTAGGTGACCTAAAAATCATCAATGTGGAGACATAGAAGTTCCTTTCTTGGGAGGTTTGGCTTATGGAGAGGAAGCTGTTCTAGTTAGTTATACTTGTTTCCTTTGTAATTTGCTTTGAGGCCAGAAAATTTTTAAAAAAGATAAAAATGTAATCTGTTTTGGATATTTACACCATGAGATTGGGGGAAGGGAAAGAGGTCAAATAAGGATTCCTTTACACCATGAGTTTGCATTCTTGAACATTGTAATGGAGCCAATCTGCTTGTATGCATATCTGATGCTTTCTGCTGAGGTTCCCATTTATGTCATGCCTCTTTTTTGCTTTTTTTCTTTTGGCTTGTCATATCTGTGTGCCAGATAGCTGCATTTGGCACTATGAACTGACTTGGTGGCAGTTACAAATTAACATAGGTCTTAATTCTGGAACTGCCATTCATAAACTCTATCTCTGTACTTAACCCAGTTGTTTTTGCAGGTCGGTCTCAACCAAGTGTTGATTGCAATATTCTAAAGAAGATGACCATACATTGTTATTTTATGTAGGTGTACGTATGAGATGGCTTAGCTTTAATTGGTTTGGTTGTTCCAAGTTTTATGTACACAATCTCACAGTAACTGCCGAGTTGTTTTTCATTTCATGTATTTCTCCGTGGTTTTTTTTCTCCCAATAAGCTTGAATGGATTTTCTTTTCTGTTGTATTTGGCCCTTCTCTTTTCAAGCATGCCAAAAGAGAGCGAATAGGGGGAGAAAAAGACAGAACGAAGCTAGAGAGAAAGACATAGAGAGAAAGAGCTGCTCTACAGAAAGAGAGCAAAGAGAGAGACAGAGAGTTGCACTAGAGAGAGAGAGAGAGAGAGAGAGAGAGCCAAGAGAGAGAGAGAGCTGCGATAAACAGATACCAAAGAGAAAGAAAGATGTGCCAGAGAGAGAGTTGAGTGAGCTAAGAGAGAACAAAATTTCTGAACATGTCAAAAATCAGCAATAAGTGGACAATAATTATATTTTTATAGGTGATATTGTAATACTATTGCTATTGTATTGTGGTTATATTGCTCTAATATTGCCTCTATAGTGTACATATATTGGCCTAATATTGCTATTATATCGTATGTCAATGGCCATTTGGTCTAATAATAGAGTCTCCACTTCATTGAAAGTAATCCTAAATTCAAATCTCATGGACACAACAATTGTTATTCATCCTTATATTAGCATGAATTGATGTTGACCTTTGAAATGATAGTTGGAGTTGCACAAAATCTGAAGAATATAACCATGAAATGGTTCAATGTTTCAACAACGGCTTCAAAATGTTCCGAGATTATGCTTCGGTCATCTCACCAGACTACAATTGGAGTGAAATTGATGTAGCTGGTGTTTGGGAGGTGCTGAATGTGGGTGCTAAGGGAATGTCTCATCATAGCCTCGTGCATGCAGCGAGGAGAAAGGACAAAGACATGGATCTTTTGATGGACCTGTAGTAAGGGTGAGTGATGCTTCAGTTCATCTCACCTGAGTACAAGGATCTTTTGTTACCTTCGTTTTCCCTTCGCGGGATAGTATTGTTAAAGTTCGGTGGCGATTCCTTTTGCATGTGTAAAATGTAGTCTGTAATGGATGTGTGTGTATTGTATGTAGATTCATTTAATATTGCTGTTCTATTGTATTTATATTGCCTTAATATTGCCTTTGTATTGCATAGATAGTGTATTCATATTGCCACCCTATTGGATGTATATTGTAATACTATTGCTATCGTATTGTCCTTATATTGCTCTAATATTGCCTTTGTAGTGCACGTATATTGGCCTAATATTGCTATTATATCGTACATCAATGGTATTTGGTCTAATAACAATCTCCACTTCGTTGAAAGTAATCCTGAATTCAAATATCACGGACACAACAATTGTTATCCATCCTTATATTACCATGAATTGATGGTGACCTTTCAAATACATCGATTCATATTCAAAAGGAAAGTAATTCTCTCCCTCAATGAATCATCGTTCAAAAGAAGGCAACTATCAAATATTGGGTACAAAAATGCAAGATCCCTGGTAAATTAATTGGGCACAAACCACATATTACAAAACCAGTATGATTTTTGGCATGCTTGAAAAGAGAAGGGCCAAAGTTCGATAAAATATTTTGGGATGGTTGAAGATTCTTGGACACCTTTTTTCTTTTCAAGTAGTTTTGTAGAAACAAGTTCTACACATGGGCTTTTATCGGTTATATTTTAAGGCAAGTTCTACACGCGAGCTTGTATCGATTATATTTTGTTATAAAATTACTCTTTGCAATTGTAAGATGGTGCAAGATCGGTGTCCTTGTCATAAATTTGACAACATTAAATTGGAAAATATGACAACATTAAATTGGAAAATATGACCTTTTTCCAATTTAAGTGATCAATTGCAACTAATTTTGATATTGTAGTACACAACAGGGTTACCTACTTGTGAAAGAGTGGAAATATCCCTATATATCTGAATTTCACCCTCACGCTATAGATTTTTTTTTATATGGTTTATTGGCAACAATTCAGATAAGATTTTCCATTGTGGAAGACAAGTTTTCTGATTGTATAGGGAAGCATCGCACAAGTTCTCTTTCATTGTTTTTTTGTGTAGATAAAGCCTGGCTTGTACTTGATGAAGTGTGAGAAATGATGCAAAAATTTGCACAAAGCAACCGATGAATGTAATTCAAACCAACACCTTTGTTGTACACTACCAAACATCAAATGCAAATTAACATCTATCTCATGGTTTGGCTACAAATGCCACCAAGCACATGCTCAACTTATAAGTTTGTAACCCTAATTTCATTGATTGAATCTTCACCTACATTCATAACACTTTTTACCATACATAACCAGCACTGTTTTACAAACAATCCTAAAACCTTCATCCTGAAGCCTGATAACTGGCGGCAGATGCAAGATCCATAGGATCAAGGAACACAACTACAGCTACAAGCATACAACAAAGCCCGGTAACTCAACTACAGCTACAAGCATACAACAAAGCCCTCAAGGGGGAAGTTCCAGCAGTCCACAGCATGACAGACAACGTACTCGTTTACAAAGACAATAACCAAGACAAGATGATAACCCAGGGCATCGGATAGCATCATACAACCCTAAACCCCCTCTATAAAAAACATACATCAAAACCTAAGTTTTCTCTTACTCATCAAGATCCTAGAACCCTGACACAACTGGCAACCTGAAACATAACTTCTAATCAATCATTACCACTAAAAGGCCTTGATGTTTCTAATCTAATGTTCTAAAACTGATCTCCCGAGGTATTTAGGAATTATTTGGATTCGACACCCACACCAAATTTCCATACTTGCTAGCAACATAATGCATTCATCCCTCTAATACTTTTTCCCCATTGTTAATTGTGAATCAACAGCTGAGAAGTAACAAGAAGATAAACAATTATACATATGTTCATTTGCTAACAATGAAACAAGTAAATAACATACTCCAATGCAGTAGCACCTATTTAGATGACAGAAGAAACTCCAATGCAGTACATATGTGAAAAACACAGCTCTTCTGCAGGGCAGTAAGAAACAAATCTTTTTTTTTTCCTAGCAGTGATGAAAAGTAAATACAGTTAAGACAAAGAAACAAAAATGGTAAAAGTGCAATAAATCAACCCAATGAGACAAACTAGATACAACTCTTTCTCACCAAATTCCACAATGATTTTTAGTTATTGAAATAGAGAGAGAACTGACAACACATTTTAAAGACAAGCAATTTATCAATGCCATTGCGAAACATTGTAACATTAGACTCAGCAAATTGTTTTGATAGGAAACATTAGATCTGAATCATAATTCCAAAATCATTAAATTCTACACTTTCAAGAGAAACCTACTCAAGTATCTCAAATTCCAAAACCAAAAACTGCCCGTATCCTCTGGAAAATAAGATCCCGCCATCCTCTCTGTGCATTCTCCACCAGTCACATTCTCATATCTGCATTACCAAAGGCACCAAAACAAAGCAATCAGCATTTCATAGAAGAAAAGAAAACAATATAACTCACATACTCCCAATCAATCAAACTAAAACTGCAAATAACCCATTAATTAAAAGTTCAAATCAAAACCAACCTGTCTTCCTCAGGAATATCTGAATGTGTTAGCTTGACAAAGTGAGCCTAAGCTCTTCAAGTATAAGCCTAACCTGGAAAAATTCAAACAAAACACACTCAACCCACAAATCACAAAACCATTTAAAACCAACCAAGAATTCATTCCAACCAGAAAGAAAAACACTTGACATACTGTTGAATCAATGCCTTCAGGCCAACTCCCAAATCTCCATTTCTGCACAATCAAACTCCCATTCTGCAACTCCAAATTGGTACCCGTCACCGACCCATCGAAAATGCTAATCTGCCCATTATCTTGGCATTGCTCTAACTAAAAACCTTCCATCTATTCTCATCCATCAAAATCTCAAACAAATCTTTCGCTCTGCAACTAAACTTCTCAGTCATACTAATCGTCTTGAACCCTTCACAGCGCTGAGGGATCACTATATCCCTTCTCAAAGGTCTACCAGTGTCATCTTTCTGCTCAGGTTCTTCACTACACTGTCCATACTCATTTCCACCTGCACCAAACAACTTTGGTACGCTTAGAATGATAAAAAAGGTAACCTCTAGGGTCTAGTTCAACACTCTCAAGAGAACCAAATAAAAGCCCTACATGGAAGCAGAAGAAATAAAATATCCTAGATGTTGTTATATACATGAATTAAAAAGCAACCATCTTTTGGTATCCGGCTTAAAAGCAACCAAATTTTATATTAAGAAGCATTTACTTGAAAACTATCACAGCTCCTACTTCAAAACTCTAAAAAACCTAACAATATATTTTCTATGGCCTCACAACCTGCATCACATTACCTGCCAAAAGGACTGCAGTAAACAATAAGATCATGTTATCATCTAAAGCGAATCATAAGAGGTCTGAAGTTTCACACAAATATATCATAGACTCATAGGGCACCATTCAGTACCATTTAGAGCTGACAAAAACACAGTTTAGGAAGATCCATCAAATATACTATAGATAATAAAATTGTGGTGTTAAATACAAGAAAATTATTCAAAACCAATAAAAAACAATAAAAGAGCATTAATAAACAAAGCTAACAATGAGCATTGCAGAAGAAAAACTACATTATAAAGTTCATTTAATCCATAGGATTGGGAATTTAAAAAGTATTTTTGTTCAACCTCGCGACTCCATAAAACACAGATAGGTTTATAAGAGAATTTCTCAAACTCTTGAGCTTTCAAACAAATAAAATTAAAAAAACTACAGTACTTTGAAGAAGGAAAAGACAGAAAAGGGAAGGAAAACAGAAATTTCATTTGACAGTTTTAAGATTCTGCTCTGTGTAGTAACCATCAGCTCCTTTTAAACTTCAGAAGAATCACCAGACCAGTACAAAAACACAGATGCACCTATTTGGGATCTGCACATTTAATAAAAAATTGTGAAAACTAATTTCAAAAGAGAGGTTTAAAACCCAAAATCCCTTTAAAATGAATACAAGTTAAGACTTCAAAGTCAAAAGGCGAACTGGTCTCGGCAGTTAATTTCTAAATGCAAGAATGATATCAACTTGCTGCAAAAACATTAGATAAGTCAAAATGCTTAAATTCAAGAACTTTGACAAGAAAGTATCCATCTTAAGGAGCTGTACAAAATAAAGAAGCAATAATATTGAAAAAGATCCTAACAATTGTAAAAGAATTGCTCAAAAGAACGCACACTCCCTTGATCAATTGAAAAGTCACTTATTCAGTTCTTGAAAATCAATCTAAATACCCAGCAAGCCAAAGTTTCTATCATCTAAAACCAAAAGTCAATGTGTTTTCACACAACAAATTATACCCCAGGCCTTTCCTCGCAATGGAATCACCCCTGCATTGACTATAGATGGCATCTAAAACTTGAAAACCCCAATAGCCTTCAGTAACCTAGTAAATCAAAATGAATAGGATTCAAGCAATGATGTTCTATTTCCTATTAGCCTATACAATTAAATCTTCTACACTCGTTCAATTAAACTTACTAAAGTACAAATAGTATTTGACTACCAAAAAAGGAATAGTATAAGAGTGACTTTGTGATCAGTTGTGGTGTGAGCGTGAGAATAACTCAAATTATCAAGTAAAAGAGTGATTTTGTTATACCTCAGGGGCACCTAATGCCCCAAGTAAGGAGCGCCACCAGATTGCCCAACACCATGCTGCCCTCTTCCTGAACCACCTTGCCCTATCTGCGGGTTCGGGTAGCCACCTTGCATTGCACCTTGATTTCCATAGCTTCCCATCATTCCAGGGCTTATACTTGCCTGATTCGCATACCCACCATGTATGGCATGTCTTGCACCAGGAACACCCGGGTTCACATGCGGAGTCGTTCCAAAAGGTTTGTTAGCCCCAAAAGGTTTGTCACATTCGGAACCCACTCCTTCTCCTCGTTGTTCCCGATTCCCAATTGTCCATCTTCACCCGAGCCCCTGTGTGTAGTAAGACAAATATAATGAAACGTGTTTTACTCTCTGTGTGTGTCTCTCTATGCTTCACCAACCAACCATAATAGCACAATACCACAATAGCATAGTGAAAAATATGAGAGAGAGCAGATAGATACCAAGTGACAATGGCAGCATCGGATGCCATTTGAACCTGAAACAGTGCTTGAATTGAAGCAGGGAGACGTTTATAAACTAATAAAACTATAAACTAGAAACAAACCATAAAGCTAGCACAGAGAGAGAGAGAGAGAGCGGAGCACTGTGACTGTGTTTATCAATATATCATGGGAAATAGCTTAAAATACCACCCATTTCATAATTTTAACTAAAAATATCAATCTCAAAACCATATAAGATGACCCAAAATAAAAACCCATCACCCAATCCTTACCTAAAATCACAATCACAATAAAGAAAAATAAATCAGGGAAATCTGAAGCCCATATCAGATATCTCATCAATTCCAAACCCTAGACTCTAGAGAATCCCCTAAACCAATTTCATACAAACCCATAAACCCTAAACCAATTTCAGAGAAACCTCTAAACCCTAAAACCATAAACCAATTTGGAAGAAACCCCTAAACCAATTTCATACAAATCCATACACCATAAACCAAATTCACAAAAACCCCAAATTTCAAAGAAAAGGTTTATGAACAGTACCTCGTGGATGTCAACGATGAAGTTAAGCTTGGATGAACAGCCACCGTTGAGGGTGAAAGACGATTGCGTCGAAGAGAGAGAGGTTCATGAGGAAGAGAGATGGGCCGAAGAGATAGAGCGAAGAGAGTTAGAGAGAGAAGCCAATTTTTGAAAAACTGATATGGGTTACAATAAGTGGACAATAATTTTATATTTATAGGTAGTAGTTGTACAAAAATTAGGAAGGGGTGATATTTTTAGTTAAGATTATAAAATGGGTGGCACTGGGGGCTATTTCCCAAACCCTAAATCCTCACAGAGAGAGAGAGAAAGAGAGAGAGAGAGAGAGAGAGAGAGAGAGAGTTGGGGGTGGGGCTGGTTGGCATGGGGTGAAGCATCATGTAGAGAGAGGAAGAGGGGGCGCGAATGGGTAGGTCTGTGGGTGGGGATAGGTTTTTTTGTTGTTCTCTTTTACTTCTATTTTTTCCAAAATAATAATATTATTTTTAATGATTTAACAAAAAAATTGGATGAAATGTTGAGGATTTAGACTGCAAGGGGAAATTGGTAAAGAAGAAGAAGTTTATATACTTAATTTTCTTAATTAAAACAAGGATAGGGGGTCTATAAGTTAGGTGCGAGTTCATGGGCAAATCACCAATTTAGCCTATTTTGACATATATCGTTTAACTTAACAGTTGCTAACACTGTCAATTTCTATTAGAAAAATAGAAAAATAAAACGAAAACACTACTCCTTCCATATGCTGATTATAGACTTCTTAATTTTTCTCACCACAACCCGACCTCTCTCCCATCTCACAATCCACATGCTAATAAAGAGCCACACACAACCCACTCTTATTAACTGCCTATCTTTTTTCTTTATTTCTAGTTTTCACGGTTAGTTTTTTTCTCTAGGTCGCATTTGGTTCACGGAAAAAATTTGATGGGAAATGGAAGATTCTTTTCCCATGTTTGGTAATATTGTTGGGAAAGTAACCAAAAATACCACTTTATTTCCTTTCCCATATTTGGTTTGTGTAGGAACGTAAAATAAAGTTTGTTTAATTTTTCAATTAAACCCATATGAAATGAAATAACAAAAGAATGCATTTAATGCTATATTGTAATTCTAAATTGTTAACAGTGACAAAATAGTCATGAAAAGTGTGCATTTAATGCTGCCCCATTTTCCTAAACATTTCCATGGGAAGGGAAAATGAAACCTAAGAGAGGAGAAGAGTTACATTTTCCCTCTTATTTTCTCATGTGCCAGACAATCATTTCCCATGCATGGACTTACCGAACATGAGAAATCAATTTTCCCATCACCAAGCCTCATTTCCCATGAACCAAACGCAGCCTTAGCTTTTTGTTTCAGAAAATCCTAAGAAAGGCCATGGAGTTTTACATTCCACCCGATATGTCAAATTGAAATATTAATTTATTACATATTGTTTATTGGTTTATTACAATCTAGGAGCATTAATTACGAAATAATAATAAAATAATGAAATAACATCACAAGGTCAAACAATAAAAAATAACAGCAAGAGAGAAAAATGTTATTCCATATAGGATTTAACATTTTGGTTGGGGTGTGAGTCTTATCTATTTTTTCTAGGGATGACAATTTTGCCCGTGGGTAAGGGTCTTCGTGGGGATTTGACTCTAATGGGTCGGGTATATGAAGGACAAAAAAGGGGTATGGAGATGGGTACGTGGAATTTTTTGGGTATGGTGTTTGGAGAGGGGCGGGGATGGTATTTTAATCCGCAACATGAACCTTCCCCATTTAGAATATATGTTATATATACAGTCGCCTTCTATTGAGAGGGATCCCTCAAATAATTTTATTTGAGGGACGCCCTTTAGGACACCCTACAAATTTTTTTTCAACGATCCAAACTATCTATTTTTGAAGTCTACATTCATAGATCATCCTTGCAAAAAATTAGACAAATCGGAAACCATTTCGACATCCAATTGTATCTTATAAAATCAATGAACGTGGTGCTTTAAAAAAGTACTAAAATTTCAGTAACACAATTGAGTGGTCAAATGATATAGGATTCAAGTGATATATATATATATATATATATATATACACAATTCCCTTCCATTGAGGGATCCCTTAAACAATTTTATTTGAGAGACACCCTTTAGGGTACCATACGATTTTTTTTTTCTCCAATGATCCAAACCATCTATTTTTTAAGTTTGCATTCATAGATCATCCTTACAAAAAATTAGACAAATTGAAAACCGTTTTGATATCCAATTGTATCATACAAAATCAATAAACACAGTGCTTTAAGAAAGTACTCAAATTTCAATAACACAATTGAGTGATCAAACGATATCGAATTCAAGTGTTTTTCTTTTTTGTAGAGATGATCTTTGAATGATTATCTAAAACATAAATGGTTTGGATTAATGAAATACAATGCGGAGTGGGCCATATAAATGTGTCCCTCAATATATATATATTTTGACGAGGTATATATATATATATATATATATATATGCTATTAAAGTGATTGTACCGACTAAGTTTTATATTTTCTATTATTATATTATATATTGATATAATTTATACAAATCTTTAGCCACACTACCAAGGGCGGAACTAAGAAGGGGCTCTAGTGGGCTGTAGCTTGGTGCTAAGTTTCCAATTTAAGCTTCAATGTATAAATAAATATATGTTGTAAATGCATGAGTTGGTGGATGACCACCATACCTCTTAGTATTCCACCATTAGATATTATGTAACCTATGCACTAAGTATTTGTAATTAGTGCTTGTAACCTATAGGTATATTGTAAATGATGGTATTCAATCTCCTATCTTGTAAGCCTATAAATAGGTGGTTCTACCAAAAATTAACAAAAGAATAAACATGGTGAAACTTTTATCTTTAGCATATCACTTCTCTCTACATTTTTTCCCTCTAGTTTTATAACACGTTATCAACACGACATTGCTCTTGTTATGTTTTCTTTCTCTGAATTTTCATTCATCTTATATGAGCTAGAGTCATCACATGGTATAGAGTTTCTTTATACTCACCATCAGACTTCATCATGCTTGTTTAAGAAAAAAAAATTTCTTATTCTTATTACACATGAATATAATGCCATTTTTTTTTATATTTGTTTGTTTATTTAATTTTAAGTATGATCTTAATTATTATGATGAGTTTGTATTATACAAAAGATCAGGGCCCGAAGTTACTCGATCCTCATCATATAACTGGATTATGACCTAGAGTTCTTTTGATTGAATCAGAACCTGAAGTTCTTTGATTCCAAATAATTGAGGGCATGAAGTTCCACGAATTTAAAGAGCACATAAGGACATGAAACTCCTCGATTTTGTATTAATCAAAATCAGAATTCCATGAGGCATACATATGTTAAGAACCCGAACCAGAAGTTTTGAGTGCATATACATCAATTTGAGTATGAAGTTCAAAGCACAACTATTAATTCAATTTATTTAGATCTACGTATTCGAACCTGAAGTTTCGAATATATATTGATATGAACCTGAAGTTCATAGTTTTTCATGGATCTTGATACTATATATGAACCTGAAGTTCATTACTTATTTATGCATATATGAACCTGAATTGGTTGGAAATTCAATTCTTAAACTTGTAGTTTTATCTACATATTGAATCCACATTAATATTGGATTATCTTGGAATTTCATAGTCTTTAATTTATTTATTTTATTCCTCGTTTATACCACTTTACTCATTTTATTTTATTTTTTATTTATGTTGGGTTATTAGTTAATTTCGTTTTACAATGGTAATATTTTGTATTACCGCCCCAATATTGGCAGCCAGAGGCGTCTATTGGAGAAACTTCCTACTTTCTTTTGTGGGTATGAAGTTTATGATGACATGAACCAAAAGTTCATGAGGCCATAATATTACACAACTATTAAAGTAGTTGAAGATTATGATATCATGAACCAGAAGTTTATTGACTGGATAACTTTTATGTTGTGGCATGACTATCTTGGCAATCCATGTTCTACAATGATACATAAGATTTTTATAAATTTGTAAATACATCGTTTAAAGACTCAAAATATTGTCTTGTCCAACAAATATCATTACAAAGAATGCTCACAAATAAAAGCTGTCATAAGATCATCTCAGTCAAAAATTGACTTTGAGCCCTAATTCAAGGGGATATTTGTGAGTCTATACAACATTTAATTATGAATCATTTCATCAGTTTTACTAAATGTGCCTACTAAAATGGTCACATATTTGATAATGACTGTGAGTTTATTTTCCTAAATTTTGAGACAATTTTCCCGCCGTTAGGGGGGAGAAATGACAGTTCCTGAAGAATGTCGTGAAATAGTGTTGAATTGGTCCGCTTTTGTCTCATCAAGATAATGCATATATAAAGTTATGAATATGCAAGCATGGATTGATATTCATGTATCACAATTCATTAACATGACAATAAGTGACTATGAGCATGACAAAAATATAGGTTTTAAAAACTTAACTCCCTAGAAGTGGAGATTATTTGAAAAATTCAAGCCCTATAAAAAATAACGCTCTGTATGAGGTTATGATCCACATATTCTAATTAATTCATCGTAAAAGAGATGTTTGTCCCATAAGTGACAACATCAGCCCCTGAAGAGGCATTGATACCCCAAAGCAATGAGATGCTTATAAATTATGCATGCGCATGCACATGAGAATTATGGGATCATGAATTGATGATACATTTGGTTTATTAGTAGCTACTACAATTATCAAGGGCTATGCTTATATTAAATCGCCTTATGAATGTCGACAAGTTAAGTGATTGGCCAAAATAGAAATAGGCAATTCCATTTATCACTAAATATGAAGTGTGGTATATTGAACCTATAGCCCAAACACCAAATTACAAATGTTAAGTATGAAGGTTACGAATTGGTGTTTGTGAAATGAAATAAAATAACTAATATGACATAAGGTTTCCTGGGAGAGACATGGTTTTAGTCTCCCATCTCATCGTAGATGCATCCATATTTCTATAAGTACAGTTCTTATTTTAACTCGAAACTTATAGCATGTGTTAAATGCATATTTATTAAGACTATATGGTACATGGAGATCCTCAAAACTCATGAAATATTTGAGATATATCGGATGAAGAGACCTCTTGAAGGATATAAAGTAACACAATATTTTTAATTAAGAGTTAACACTAAGAGTTTGAGTATTTTGAATTCAAATTTGATATTGTTGTAACATATTCTAACTATTAAATTAGTTGTTGATGCTCCTAAAGATTTCAATCATTTGAAAAGTGAAAAGTAGGTCGAATAGTGTGATAGACGATCATGTATGAAGACAATGTTGCTTGTATTACTCAAATCAGAGAATGGGAGATATTAATCAGGGGGAGATATCAATCAGGGGGAGCATCCAATTCTACTACATACAGGACATATGCATGTTGTACTTTTTTTCCCTTCGACTAGGTTTTTGTCCCATTGGATTTTTCCTAGCAAGGTTTTAACGAGGCAACATAAGCGCATCAAATACCATATCAATGATCTAGAAGCAAGTTTCACTCTTTTCCCCTTCGCTTCGGTTTTGTCCCACTAGGTTTTCCAAGCAAGGTTTTTAATGAGGGAACTATGTCATTGTATGGTGGACATCCAAGGGGGATTGTTGTAAATGCATGAGTTGGTGGATGACCACCATACCTCTTAGTATTCCACCATTGGATATTATGTAACCTATGCACTAAGTATTTGTAATTAGTGCTTGTAACCTATAGGTATATTGTAAATGATGGTATTCAATCTCCTATCTTGTAAGCCTATAAATAGGTGGTTCCACCAAAAATTAACAAAAGAATAAACATGGTGAAACTTTTGTCTTTGGCATATTACTTCTCTCTACATTTTCTCCCTCTAGTTTTATAACAATATACTACAATTAAATATTAGCCCACTAGCACCACAACAATTTTTTTTTTTTTTTTTTTTTTGCCCATACAAAGGAATAAGGCGGCAAAGGAATATGAAAAATGTATTTTTTTCTCAGCCCACGCATGTTGCTTTATTAGTTTCTCTATATTGATCAAAACAATCATTAAAATATTAGCATATCATTAAACCCCCAAAAAAACAAGAGGGCTTCGAAACAGTAAAAAAACATAGCATCAACAGTAAACCTAAAAAAGAAGAGGGGTTCAAAACAAAGTAAAATAGAAAAGTACATTGAAACATATGCTATCTTTCTTTTCAAAATCATTCAGTTGTGTTTTCCTCTTTTTGGTTGAGGCGGCTGAGGGAAGGAACTTTTGGTCTTTCTTATTTTGAGTGCGGAACTTTTGGTCATTCTTATTTTGAGTGCGGGGCGTGCCACCACCAAGCCAAGAAATTGGGCTTGAATGGAATGTGAGTAGATGTATGTGTTGCGCTTCTAACTTCTGATCAAACGATTGATCGGCCAAGCAAGGAACCTCCTCTTGGCCTAAATTCTTTCACTTTCTCGGGCTCGAGGATGGTTAGGCTTTGTACGGATGTTTTTGTGATTTAAAGGGTTTTAAGTAAAAATAATGCAATTAAACTATATATGTGTATAAATGTAAAGACAAGAATTGAAGTGCGATAAATAAAACAAGAATGAAATAAAAGCGATAAGAACAATAAACTTGAAATTAGACTTAATAAAAGTGCGATGACAATAAAAGATAAAGCAATTGAAATAAACTTGAATTTAAATGACAAGAAAATATAAATTGAACAAGAATTTAAATTACAAGAAAAATATAAACTTACACCAGAAAAAGGAAGAACTTACTACACTAGGTGCTTGAAAAGTAAAATCCTAAGTCCAGGAAAAGAAAACTACAAGACGAAAAGTAGGTTTGTCTGTCTGATGTTGTCTTTGATGTCTTTGTTTGGTAAAGTTTATATAAGGCATCCGTTGGCCCATGGGCTGGCCATTGAATGGTTAAATGTCAACTCTTTTAAAAATCTTTCCTTTCGAAGCCCCTCTAAATCTATGAGATTGCATTGATTGAAATATTTTGACATGTTTGATTCTTCCTTGCTTTGGAACATTCGGAATTATTATCAAATTCCTTGATTTCTTTCCTTGTGAGTCCTCTGTCACGTGCACACTGAGCTCCGGAAATCTTGGGTGTGAATCTATGACTTGGGCTTGGACCTCCAATCTATTGGAATGGCATGAAGATGCCCTTTCATAACTTTCGAATTCCTGGAAGTCTAAAGTTGGCCCACCGAGGAACCTCATTTGATCTTTACATTTGTTTAGTAATATATATATATATATATATATATATATTAATAAATAGGCAGCTTGGGTTTTATTGTTTAAACCAATTTAATCATATATATATGTATATATATATATATATATATATATATATATATATTAAAATGGGCAGCTTAAGGAACCTCCCCAAAGCTAAAACACTCCAACCCGAAAAAACCTGTAGCCCCCGATAGCTCTAAATCTCGGCCGCAGACCTTTGGGCACGTAGCCCTTCGAATATCCGTTGTGAAAAACTGGGCATCAGCCACAAGAAATCTAGAAGCATTTTCCAGCTCTCGGCCGCAATCTCCAACCAAAGCCCTACAATGATACTCCAACCAGAGCCCGACTGCAATACTTCACCAAGTTCGGACTATCTGGCCCCAGTCTCCAGTAGATCCAGCAGCAACATTCCAGCAGGTCCTGACTGTAATATTCCTTCAATTCGTGCTCCAAATCTCGGCCGCAAAGCTCCCTTAATCCCTGCTCCAAATCTCCGCCGTGAAGCTCCTTCAATCAGTGTTCCCGGCCCCCAAGCTCCTCAAAATCGGGTCGAGATCTCCAACAATCCTAGCTTCCAAAACCCGCCCGAGATCTCCAATAATCCCAGCCGCCTTCGAACTGCCCGGCCACTCCTTGCAAGGCCCAGCTTCTCCAGCCGTGCCCGACTGTCTCGCTGCCAACCTTTACCTGGTTGCCCTGCGATTCAAGGCCCGACCGTGTTCTTCATCCATAAAACTGGGGCGCATTCTTCAGCCGCTATTTTCCAACCACACGAAATCCAGCTGAACTAACCTTGGGCCCCATTCGATCGCTTTCTTGCGCAGCCTGAATTACTTCGACCGCATATTCTTGGGCATTGGTCACAAAGGCCCAGCCGCAACTCAGCATTTCAATACTTGGCTACCTATTCTCAAAATCTCGAGACATTTCGTCCGCAACAGAGTGTAGCCCGCGTTGGGTGATTTCTCACCACCCCCAAACTAGTGGGTTCTTCAATATTCATAGGTTTATCTTTTTCTTCTTATTTAATTCTAAATTTGAATTGTCATTGTTAAATTTTTAAGGTTTGAGAGTAAAATTTTGGGGATTCTTAGAACAACAAGAAAAGAGACAACAATAATTATATATGCAAGATTTCAATTGATAAATGTTCTATTTCACAGAGTAATGAAGTTGTTATTTTTTATATTTATCGATTATATATGTATTTTTGGTTCTCATTGTAAGAATATATATATGATTGTTGGTGTATAATATTTTCTTATTAGGATATAATGTTACATATGATGATAATTGACCGGTGAAGAGAGGAAATACTATTCATTTTTTTTTAGAAAAAGTGGTAATGATAATGAGAATACACTTTTTGAATCTAATGTTGATATTGAGAATACATCTTATGCATCTAATGTTGATACTGAGAATACACCTTCTATATCTAATGTTGATACTTCAATTCAGTTGGACACTAGTTCTTTAGAACGAGATCCAGGGAAATGTATTCCAATTTGTGAACACCCCATTAATCAGTGTGATGAGATTTGAAGGACTTATATCAATTTAGGGCCTTATCAACCTAAACTTTTTGAGTATCCAAGGACTTTGTTCAGCAACAAAGACATCAATTTCAATATTATTGATTATCACAATTTTCATGGTTAGAGTATTCTCCTACAACATATAAGGCATATTGTTTACCATGCTTTGTGTTTGAAAAGAATCCAGCAAATGGGTCTTCACTAAATACTGATGGGTTCAACAATCGGAAAATAGTGAATGACGGAAAAATATGTGCATTTTTGCAACATGTTGAAGGTCCATCTTCACCACATAACACTTGTGTAAGATGTGTTGATGATTTAATGAAATCATCTCAACATATTGAGAAAGTTATTCACAAACAACCAAAAGAGCAAATTTGGAAGAATCAGTTATGGCTAAAGGCAACAATTGAGAGTGTTTGGTGGCTTATATTTCAAACATGTGCTTTTAGAGGTCATGATGAATTCATAGACTCAATGAATCGAGAAAATTCTTAGAATGATAAAATTGCTGAAGTTGTTTTAGAGAATGTCCCGAGAAATGCTAAATATACCTCACCATTGATTCAAAAGGAGATGTTGCATATTCTCCCTGATAAAGTGAGAACTAAAATTCACGAAGAAGTTGGGGAATCGACTTATTGTATTCTTGCTGATGAAGCAAAAGATGCATCTACCAGAGAGCAAATGACCATTGTTTTAAGATTTGTTGATCATGATGGTTTTGTACGAGAACGTTTTTAATTTTTTGGAGAATGCTTGTGTTGATTCCTTTGCTTCTTTTGAAATTGGGAAGAGGTTGAGTGAATATTGCTGCTTTAATTGGGGTCGAGTGCGGATTGATTAGAAGAGTGCAAAGCTGGTTTTGCTTAATTTGATTAACTGCACTCATGCTGCATTTGGCATTCTGTTTGAGATTAACTGCACAACAGAAAATTTGGAAACTTTGAAAGTCTTAGGCCTCTCTTTTGTTTATGATATTTGGAAACTTTGAGCAAACTAAAAGCGGAATCAAATTAATTGGTGGAAGGAAGAGATTTGCATGTTTTAGTTTTTCCTTTTCCCTCCAGGAGGATGATGGGTTCTTTGAAGCCACTGTTTTGCTTGAGTGCAGATTCATTAGAAAACAACTCTCACCTTTTCACTCAATATAAAAAAGAAAAGGCAAGGGCAGCAAGTATTTTTAGGCAGAGAGCGACATTTCCTTCCCCTTACATACAGAGAATGCATCTCTACTTAGTTGAGTTGATAAGCCTCTCCATATATAAAATTTCAATGGAGAAATTTATTTGCTCTTTTTTGCCCAAACATGATGAACAATGAAACAAATCACTTGCAATTGAAGAAGCAATAACAAGCATAATAAGTTGAATATTGGCTCAAATAGTAAAGTACATATTGACTTTATAAAAAAAAAGAAGCTCCCCCAATATTTATAAGGGAGTTTCACTAAAACACCCAAAATAGGAGCTGAAATTATAAAAAAACCCAACACCCAAAACACTTTATAAACACACCCAAAACCCATCATTACACACACTCAAAACCCATTTATAAACACACCCAAAAAATATACAATTGTTGACTTTGGGGTTGATTTTGGGTGTGTTTCTATGTTTAAATAGTGTTTGGGTTTTTTTATAAATACATGTATAGGATTGGGTTTATTTATAAATTTGTATACTTATAATTGGTTCGGTGGTTCACAATTTTTTTTGGCACAAATGCGAAAGAATTTATTGATGAGGATGAATAAAACAAGTATACAAAAATCTGGTTATGTCCTCAAGGATTTGGTGAGTATCTTTACACCAAATGAGTGTATGGTCATTGGACTACCTAAGTAGCCTACCTACTCAACCTCTAGCGAAATGAGGAACCTTACCTCTGATAGAGCACCCCCGGTCTCTCTATGTGATCCGTAAAAACTACAAATTACAAATTACAATCCTGGAAGAGAACATCTGGAAGACAATCTGTTAGCTCTACAAACCAAGAAATCACAGACCCCACATGTAAGGCACATTATTCAAGGCGAACAATACATCCTCAGCGACTTGCTTCAGCAACGCTTTGATATCTTCCATAATCGGACTCACAAAAGATCTATTCGTGGTAGACTCTCCATGGATTGCCACGATTTGGAGATAATCCCTCTCAATCCTTGCAGCCAACAGCTCAATCTATAAAGCTGGAAAATACATTATCGAATTGGACCATCCTGCCTGCCTGGCACAAAGGTCGCTCTTTTACTGATGTATGTCGCCCACTTGTAGAAAGGAAAAGTTGGTTCACTCCCTCTTTTTCCTTTCATGCACTTCCCGAAAAGAGAGAGAACCAAAGGTTTTGAGAAAATCGAAGAGAAATGACAACCCTTACATTACTGTGATATCAAATATTCTGAAGATTTAATTTCATATACCAACATATATATTAACAGTTAAGAGTAATTATAAATACCATGTAAAACAAGGAACAACAGTAAAGATGCATTCGACAGCAAGCCTGTGATGCAGGTGAAGAGACTTGGGTGGAAGTTTCTGTTAATGTGCAAAATGGTAAACTGATTTAGTATGTAATTGCTTTGTTTAGTGTTATACTTAGCTCATAGGCTAAGCTGTTTATAATAGTCAAACGGTTTGTTAAGTCTTATAGGACTTGACTGGACAGGTGTCTTAATCCTACTGATAGTGTAGTTGGATGGTTGAGATTGAAGCTAGGAAATGTCTAGCTCTCTCTCTCCTCTAATGGTAATATGAGCTATATGAGCTGTGAGTGATATTGTGCCTCACTCTCCACGAAATACACAAATTTTGCAGAGCATATTGTTTTCTTCACTCTCTTCTTCAATATACCCATTCCTCCATCTGTCCTATTAGCTTATTAAACACTAACAGTTTCCGGAGGAATCATACCATCTTGGTTGATGGGCTTGCAGCTTGAAGTTTTCTAGAACTTTTGGGTCCTTGAAAGATGATAAGTCATTAAACAGAATAGAAGGGGAAAAAAAACCTTCCCCTTCCTGTTAGGAAACCAAAAAGTCAAGGAATTTCTCCCTAAGGCCCCACCTTTATCGCTGTCCTTCCTCTTTCATCCCCCCATATACCTTTTTTGCGTCTTAGCCTTGCCCTATAAATTTCCCCCAAAACCCTCAAACATTGAGTCAATAACCGTCAAAACTCTTCCACTCTCCTTCCCCAAAGCATAATAGCCCTAGCTAGCCATGTCGATCACCATCACAGACTACGAATTGGACTGCAACACCCACGACCTCTACAGAGTAGATTTCTTCAACGACTATATCAAACCCTAGTCACACACACCCCCTCCAAGCTCAGGTCTTGGATCCAAAAAATAAAATACCTACACCGTTACAGGCTCCACAAGCTCATTGTAGGGCTCGATCTAGAGTGGCGTCCTTCCTTCACCAAAGGTATCACCAACCCCGTTGCAACCCTACAGTTGTGTGTGGGCCACAGTTGCCTCATATTTCAGCTTCGCTATGCCCCTCGGCTACCCAAGTGTCTGTTTGACTTTCTTGGGGATCCCAGGTTTACCTTTGTGGGCGTAGGAATTCGGGAAGATGTTCGAAAGCTTATGGATGATTATGGGCTTGTGGTGGCAAATTTTGTCGATCTTAGGGTTTTGGAGGCTAGGAGGTATGGGTGGAGTGTGCCCCGGAATTTGAGTCTAAAGGACATGGCAGAGGAGGTTCTAGGGCAGGAGTTTCAGAAGCCAAAGACTATTACTACGAGTCACTGGGATAAGCCATGCCTTTCTCTTGCGCAAGTCAAGTATGCCTGTGTTGATGCCTTTGTTTCTTTCGAAATTGGGAGGGTTTTGAGAGCAGCAGATTAAATGTGTACACAGTTTTCCTTTTCCTTTTCTTTTCCTTTTAGGTAAGGATGAACAATTGATAAATAATTGCTTACCCTCCATGCGTTACTATATAAGTCTGTATGTTCGTTTGAATTTTTTCCCTTGATGTCAAAATCTTAGACCTCTGTTCTTTATATGGTTCCCAAGTTTGGGAATTGTGAGTGGTACATATCTTTTACAATTATAATTGTGTGTTCTTTTGACATATTGTTATGTGAAAATCTTAGGCCTCTCTCATGTTTCTGAAATTTGGGTACTTTTAAGTAGTGCAAACTAGGAACGGGATCAAATTAATTAGTGGATTGATGGAGGATATTTGCATCCTTTAATTTTCCTTTTCTTTCCAGTTGGATTAATTCTTTGAAGCCCGGTGTTCGGGTAGCTAAATGAACCTTGCAACCTATTTCTATGGAGGAGTGCAGATTCAGTAGAAGATCTCAAAGCTGATTTTGCTTACTTCTAGCTAGCACTCATTCTGCATTCTGCATTCTGTGTAAGATCAATCAAGTATTTGGGTAGGTCAATGAGAGATGTTTCACATTTCACTATCATCAACAAACTTTTCACATAACATTTGCACACCCTGGTTTAACTTGTTTTGCCAAACCATGGCTTGTTTTCCCTTGCAAATAGTTTGGGGAGCTTTCAATTTTTTGGAAATTAAAGCAGGGTTTTAATCCAGGTTAAAAAGGTTCAGATTATTAGACCATTATATTTGGCTCGTTTTGCCAACAATGGCTGTTCTTCCTATGCTTATTATTTTTTGCTAATGGTGGTGTTGATTTGTTTCACTTGTTTTCCTGAAATTCCTTTTACGTATAGAGCAATGCATGTACTTAGTTAAGCAGCCTCTCTATGAAAAAAAAAAAAGACTCACTTGAAAAACCAAACATTGCTACATATAAAGATCGATTTTGGCCAATTGATTTTTATTTTGACAATAATATTCAAATTATTCCATCGCGCATAATATCGAGCAATTTATTTGCTCTTTTTTCGCCTCAAGACGATCAAACGTCGAACAAATCACTAACAGAAGAAGATGCAATAACAAGCTTCATCAGTTAGAGGAACAGTAGGAATGCATGAGTGTCCATTATATTGGTCATGGTGTTTGTTCCTGCACTTCTACCCGCAGTCTGATAAAGTACACCCGCCGCTTCGAAACAGTATTTCCATGCATCTCTTTTGTGCATAAGCTTGAGGCACGTTTTGGTTGTTCAAAGCAACTGCAAAATCATCAAATTTATATAAGTCAACAATTTTTTTTTTCTTTCCTGCAGAGTATATCTGAAGCAATTCTATTCAATTTACAAGACCTGCCAAAACTATCCCTCTCCCATCTGGCCCACCCTTTCAAATGTATATATTTTTTCAAACACAAGCAAGAAAGGGAAACTAAGCCCAGCTCTCTCAACCATGGAAATATAGCAAAAATCAGTCAATACTCCCATGTTTTTCATCGTTCCAGTTTCTAAATCTACCCAAAAGGCAAACCCTTGAAGAAAAGAAAATAAGAACACACACTTCTCTCGCTCTATCTCATGGCCCAGCTCTTCCGCCATTCTCTGCCACTTCATTTGTTCATACTTTTTTTTTTTTTTTTTTTTTTTTTTTTTTTTTTTCCATTTATAAAGATTGGTGTGGGGATGGCGGGAGAAGGATGAAAAGGGGAAGAGGACGATGGAGGAGGATGGGGCCAGTCATTTAAAAAAAAGAATAGCAATGATAAAAACGAGAACTAAAACATAGGGTTTTTAAAATAATAAATGGGGGACATGTGTCACTCAAATACATAGGGTACCGGGTGGGAAAGACAACTTGGTTGGGTACATAACATCTCAACTTGCTGCTAACACGGTCTAGCTTACTAGGAAAGGGCTTTCACTTGCAGGTCAGTGATCTTAGATTTGAACTCCCTATAACACTTTGGTAGTGTGTGTGTGAGAAATGCCCTTCCCCCTTTTAACTTTAAAAAGAGAAAGTGAGAGTTCCTTAAACCCTTGTGATATGGATATGCTAACAAGGATAAGTGGTGTACCACTAGAGTTTTAATTAATTCGCTACATGTTTCACATAAAACAAAGAGGTAAAATTTATGTACACTGAATCAACAAAGTAATGTTATAACCCAAAACAAAAAAAGAAAACAAATGAAAAGTACCAAAAATCTGCGAAGGATAAACCAACAAACCTGAGAAAACAAGAACAAGAAGGAAGAAACGGAAAAAAGAAAAGCTAGACATTCTATATAGCAACTATGTGTGTAACAAGTATGTATATTTTTGCTTAGTGGAATGTGTTGGAATTTTGAAAAGGTTTTGAAAATTTTTACCGATTTATTTAATTATTTTGGTTATTTTATTTTATTTATTGAGGGGGTTATAAATATTTAATTTTCAGATTTTATTAAGATATTGAATGTCTTAATTTTCTAGTATAATGTGGTGAATGTTACATATTCTTGGATGCCTATAAAATGTTCATCCTTCACATTTGAGAGACTACCACAATACCACATATCACAATGACCACCACAATATGATTCTCTCATCCAGTGGCAGTTCTTAGGGCGTGCAAGGTGGGCCCACTTCTAAGAGGGCCCCAAAAATATTATATTACTGCATTAAATATTATTATTTTATTGAGGCTACATATTTTTTTTAAATAAAAAAAATCAGATTGGGGTTAGTTTAATATACTGATATAATATTAATAATATAACATATACATAAAATTTTCCACTAACTTTGCGGGCCGAAAAAAAACTTTCCATACTAAACACATTAACAAAACAAAAAACAAAAACTTTGAATACATAATACATTAATGTAATATATAACATAGCTCAACCCTATATACCATTAAAGTTTATTTTCTTTTCGCCCAACTGTCATAAGCCATGTAGCCTTCTTTTGAAAGTTTCATGAATCAAGCTCAATTCTCTCTCTCAAATTCTTAGAGTTTTCACTCCTTTTTTCTAAATCATAATTGAAGAAATTTCTCAAATCAATGAGTTCATCCTCATAAGATCAAGACAAATTGAGGAAAAACTTTGATAGTATAGTTATTGATCCAAGAAAATTCATTAATTATTTATCGGAGAATTTTTGTTCAATGTGACTGTCTTTTGGTGAGTTTTAGTTGCAAACTTGCTATCAATATATATGGTCCACTTCTAATAATTTTGTTGAATATTTTGTTTTAAGAGGCTCTATTACTCATTTTGCACAGGGCCCCAAAAATCTCATAGCTGCCCTTGCTCTCATCTTATACCTTCCATACTTTCTCTACTTATATTAATATTGTTAGGCAATGATTATTTGACTTGGAGACTTATATCCGACTGTGAATGTGCTCATAGCGGACATTGAGCCTGTGTATTAGGAGTCGTGTCTTGGAGTTTTGTAAATCGTCAATACCTGCATGTAGGGAGGGTCCAAAAACTTTAGGACACCATTTTTGACATGCTTCACCATACCACACTTGCTTTCATTATGTTAATTTATTTTACTTTTATTCACCTATTATTTGTTCCTTTAGTTTTACTTTACCTTAAAAGACATTCCAATTTATTTTATATATTATTTATATTATAAAGTGTTTTGCTTTTGGTTTTTATGAAAAGAGAAAAACTATAATTTTTATAACAATCTAAAGCCTTTGTAGGATAAATTATTTCCTTACCGTATTGTTGTTGGTAATATACTTTAACTACACGTTTTCAAAATACAAAATTGTTAAAACAATATTAAACTATTTGCCAAGTTGGTCTACACGTTTTGGAAGAGATTTAAATCTTTAATTGCTCAAAGGCAACCAGTTACCAGCCAATTAATTACCAAATCAATTTAAAGCTAGATATTTGGTGTGCCGTTTTCTACACAAACTGAAGTCAATATCCTTAAATTGATCAGCACAATTGTTTCTAAAATAAATTTCAGAATCTTAGTACCAGTTTGGCATTGCTTATTTGGGGTGATAAGTGATTTTTAAAAAATTTTGAGAAGCCCAACTCGTTTGGTAAACTGTGAGAAAATCACTTATTGTTAAAAATTGTTGTAAGAGAAAGCTATAAGGGAAAGCAACTAATGAGGTGCTTTCATTTTCTGATTATACAGGAATCAGTTTCGAAGAGGCGCTGGGTTTAATGATTATGCGACAATCATTTTCTTATTATACGTAAAATCAATCCCAACAACACTTTTAACAAAAATTTTACCATACGTCAAACTGCTTTCTCTCACAGCTAATTTCTCTTACAGCAAATCTGATAGCGATTATTTTCACAGTACAACAATGCCAAACTGGCCCTTAATAATGTTAATAGTATTTAAAAAGAAAAATTAAGTATTATACATAATTATCCTTACTAATTAGTATTTAAGACAAACAGTATTTTTGTTTTGGTTTTAATACTTAGGAATTGAATTTTGTTTTGGATTTGACTAGGAGGCCCAAATTCATTGGTCTACTTTACATTAATAACTGAAAGGACAATTATACCGTTTTTGTTTAAAAGCCTGACCCAAATTCGTTGTTCTCTCTCTCTCTCTCCACAAAAAAATGATATGTGATCATCGATCCAAGATCGAGAGACCGATCTACGATGGAATTCTCAAGCTGCTTGACTAGGGGCTCATCTCTTCGGCATTCACCGGCAACTCCAAGGTCTTCTAGCTCAAGATGAAGGGCATTACGATTACTATCTTGCTGAGTTCAAGATCGATTTACTTGCAGCTCATCCCTTCGGATAACAAAGATTGGAACATCCAAGGTTCCAATCTCCAGTTTTCGCGTAATGGTTTTTTGTTAATTGCTCAGTTCTTGTGATATTATTTTCATATTAGACTTCACATCAATATTTTGTCAAGCCCTGATAATCTTCTGACTTGTGTTTTTCTCTCTCTTTGTGAAGCTTATGAAATTTTTTATTTTAAGAAATATTGAACTGATATGGGTGCACATTTAACTGCTGATGTTACGTTTGTATAATTTTTTATTTCTACATAATTTTAGTCCTGTTTATAGTCGGTGTTTTCTATCCCTTCAATATGTTCACCTCACGCCTTTTAATGAGATTATCCTTTTCTTTGGCCAGTAATGGCTATTCATTGCTCTGATAAGTAGGACTCTTAAAGTGTATCTTTGGGTACAGTTATATATGAACTATCACTTCCTCTTCCAATTTGCTGTCATTTCTTTTAAGTGAAAGTGGCTTCTCAATTGGTCATTTGTTTCTATGAATTTCTTATTAATTTTGTATGTAACCTTTAGGTCAGATTTTGCACGTTTGAATTTTCAAGGTTTTTACGCTGCAGTCTTGGCTCTTGGAGAAAGATGATGTGTTGAGGTTAAAGTTCGAGTCCCTTTTTTTTAACCGTTGATTGTTTATATAAATATTGTATAACTGAATAAATATTACAAAATTAAGTTTGGTGTGAGTAAGCCTTCCTCCTTTGAGGTCAAGGTTTGAGTCCTTTCAATGACATAAAATCTTTTTTTTTGTTTTTTGTTTTTTTTTAAGGTGAATAAATGGCAACGGAGTTGGTCCCTTGTAGAAGGTGGCAGGCTGGGGATGGGCGGTGGCGGCCAACGGTGGTGGTGGGTGGTTGTTGGCTAGAAATGGACATGTGGCATAGTTTGATTGCCTTAGAAGGAGTGACATTGTGTGTAATTTTCATATTTTTGTAAAATTAAATACTACATTTTGGTCTTTGGCCTTATGCTAATTAGATGAAATTGTATTCATATCTTCCAAATTAGTAAACTATATTGTGTTTTAAAACTAAAGCTCCCTATTTAAAAACTAATTAATGACCATTGAAATAAAAATAAAATTGAAGTGAGCTACTGTTGAAGTGTTTTAAAACCGACACGTTGAAGTGTTTCAAAATCGTTGGTCTAATTTGTTTAATTGAAATTTCAAAACAAGTATATATATTTTTGAGAACAAGTGTGTGTGTCTATATATATTTTATGACACGTGATAGAATATTATTGATGTGAATAAGCTAATACAAGAAGTCTGAACTTGTATCAAGGGTAAAGGAAATTCCTTGATCACGAGTGACAATCCTCCTCATACAGTACATTTACAATAAAATTAGGAGGTTCCTCGAACCAATACAGAGAAACCCCGATATACAAGGCAAAATGCGCTATACGACGAGCCACACCATTAATTAGGGGTGGTTGCGGTTCGGTAACCGCGAATTTTTACTCAAACCGCAAACCGACCGACTATTTGCGGTTTGGTGATTTTTGAAACCGCAAACCGACCGCGTTTTGCGGTTTACCGCATTGCGGTAAACCGCAAAATGCGGTCGGTTACCGCGAATTAGCGGTTTAAAACCGCAAGTTCTCAAGCATTCACAAAAATATAAATTCACAACCTAAATAAATAAATACACAACCTTAATTTCTCAAGCATATATAAATTCACAATCTCCTCAATTTCTCAAGCATTCACAACTTAAGAAAATTAAAGTTACAATTCCAAGCATTCCAATTAAAGTTAAACTTATCAAGCATTCCAATTCCAAATCCTTTAAAGTTACAAATCAATAGGAAAATGCAAAGCAAAATGAATTAAAGTTACAACCAAAAAGAAAAATCCAATTCAAAGTTAATTAAAGTTACAAATTAAAATGAAAATGCAATTCACCAATGTTACAAACTAAAGTTACAAACTCAAGTGTTGGTGGTGAGTGAATTTGAAGAACCCCGTTGTGTTGTTTGAGTACCAATGTTATCTACAAATAAAACAACATAGTTTAGTACATTTTATTATAAGAAGAAGCATAAATAAACTAATTACTTACAAGTTGTCATATGTTTCATTTCCTTGTAGAATTAAACATCATCATCCGTACTGCGGCTATACTTTGCGGTTTGCGGTAACCGCAAGTTTTGAAAATCAAATACCGCAACCGCAACCGCAAATGCGGTTCGGTTCTTAATACCGAAAATGCGGTTCGGTTTACCGCGATTGCGGTTTCATTGCGGTAAATTATCGGTTGGTTTTTGCGGTTTTTCGGTTTTTCGGTTTAAAATGCCACCCCTACCATTAATAGTATGACGAATATGAGAACAAGTATATATTTGATTTTATTGTGTTGGGCCTTTGTACATTTGCCTTTATTCATTTTGGTTGCCATCAATCTTCTTTTATATAATGGTCCTTTATATTATTTTTTTTGTTGGACTTAATATCGTTTTATTGTTCTTTTTTTTAGAAAAAGAATTCATTCATAGAACCAAAGACGTATAAGGGACGACATGATACAGTGGCCTCGTTAAAACTTTCCTAGGACAGTCTCATGAGACAAATCCCAAAGGAGAAAAGAGTACCACACATGTCATAGACTAACAAGAGAGTCCGATTCAAGTCACTTTAAACCATTACAATAATAGAACAAATCAAAAATGAATTTCGTCTTGAGAGCAACCCACGCTTGATGGTGGGCCTCATCCTGGGCAACTTACTTGGGCCTTGAAATTATATTAGCAAGGTTTTTAATTGTGGTTAAATGGTTTCGATTATTAATAGTTTCCTGACATAAGATATACTAGACCATTATTTGGCTCGTTTTTTACTGTTTGACTTGTTCTCCTCATATCGGTTTTGCAAATTGCTTGGATTATTGCTTCACCTTTACATATGGAGAATGCACGATGTACTTATATAAAGAAGGATTGACTTGAAAAACCAAACAATGCTATATATAAAGATCGATTTTGGCTAATTGCTTGGAATATTATTCTTTTATCAAAGAAAGACTCGAACAAATGACTAACAATTGAAGAAGCAATAACAAGCATAATCAGTGCCAGCAACATTGGCAACACAACTATGTCCAGCATCATGGTGTTTGTTAAAACACTTTTCCCAACAGTCCGATAATGTGCACCCGCTTCGATACAACTGCTCTTGGCATCTCTTTTCTTGTGCATAAGCTTGAGGCACGTTTTGGTTGTTCAAAGCTACTACAAAATTATGAAATTTAAATAAGTCAGCAGTTTTTTTTTCCGCATGAAATAAATCAATGTTCAATTTAATTTAAAGAAAAAACTTTTCATGAGAGGTAGACGAGAGAGTGAGAGTTCGTTGAACTCTTGTGATGGATGTGAATTAGGGTAAACCACTAGAGCTATAAGTAGCCACATATTCCACTTTAATACAAAGAGGTAAAATTTCTCCAGTGCAGTTTGAATCGCGACAAGAAAATAGTGTTTAGTTACACAGCAATATAACCCAAAAGAAAAAAAAAGAGCACTAAAAAAATGATAGAGAATAAGCTTACAAACCTGAGAAAACAAGAGCAAAGAGGATGAAACGGAAGAAAAAAAAGCTAGCCATCTCAAGAACTATGTGTGTAACAAATGTGTATGTATATTTTTACTTTGTGGAATGTTGGGGAACAAGACTCTGTGGAGAAGAAGTATATATAGGGAGGGTGGGGATGAGCACTAACGTTATGTTTTCTAATAATAAAAACAAATTCATCTTACCTTATTGTAGGATTCAACAAATACATTCTAGTCAGATTAATAGAAGAAATGGAAGCGGGAAAACCTGGCCATCTTTAGCTAACATCTATATTTTAAAATAATTTTTATATGTTATTAGACTTATTGAAACGGAAGACAAACATACCTGTGTTGGCTGTTACGAATTGATTAGGTACCCTGATTGGTGGGACCATTCGAAAGCTCACCGCAGGAATAAGAGCAAATCACTCAACACATCTTCCGAATCAGATCTTGTAAGTCCTACGGTTTTGGCTACACCGGCTCCAACATCTGCCTCTATAGCCACAACAGGTACCAAAGGTTATGTTTTAAATACTTTATCCAAGAAAAACACCTGGATCATTGACTTAGGAGCAACTAACCTTATGACATTTGATCATGGACAAATTGCCTCTCATACACCGTCTCCTCAATCGGTGGTGTCTAATGCTAATGGTACTCCCTTCCTTGTGATTGGGGGGTTCTCTTTCTCTCCTTGACTCCCTCAATTTGGATTTTGTGTTGTTTGTTCCATCCCTACACCATAATCTATTGTCCGTTGCCCAAATTACTACGGCTTTAGATTGCACTGTAACCTATTTAATAACTCATTGTGTTTTGCAGGACATTCTCAGCAATAAGACGATTGGTTGTGGTACTAGGACGGGGGAACTTTACTACATGGACTTAGCGCGTGACAGTGAAGCCAAAGCTGGTCAAGCTTTCAAGATTGGGGGAGCTAATGTTGAGAAACAAACTGACGAAGTATGGCTATGGCATAAGCGTCTTGGACATGCTTCGTTTGGATATTTACAGAAGTTATTTCCATCCTTATTCACCAATTTAGATATTTCAAGTTTTAAGTGTGACATTTGAGAACTGGCCAAGAGCCATTCCTTTTCCCTTAAGTTCAAACAATAGTTCGGTTTTGTTTTCTCTTGTTCATTCTAAAGTTTGGAGATCTGCTAAAGTTGTCACTCTGGCGGGAGCTCGATGATTTGTCACATTTATAGATGATTGCACATGCATGACTTGGGTTTCCCAAACACCACTTCAAACATTTCACCACCATATCCAAATACCTCCCACCCCCAAACTTGTACCGTGGTTTTTTGGTTGTGTCGTATTTGTACATTTACATGATCACCAACGAAGCAAATTAGATCCCGAGCAAAAAAGTGTGTTTTCATTGGCTATGTTCCTCATCAGAAAAGTTACCGATGTTATCACCCTCGAAGTCAGAAGGTATATACTTTCATGGATGTTGTGTTCCGGGCACACAACATATATTTTTTAGTAGCACATGAGGAGAATCTAGAATCAAACACTCCATGCTACCAAAATTAGGAGGAGAAAGTTTAACTGTTTTATGAGATTTTGCCCGCTCCAGCACCTTCAGCTCTAGGACCACACCAATCACCTGCTGGGGAAGTCATTCAGGTAACATCTCCCCTGAAACTGATAGCACTAAAACATAGATTGCTCGTCACTAACTCTCCACACCAGACCTTGCTCAATGACTTGTCAACCCCAAACTATAGCTCGCCAAACTAGGGAAGGGCAATTCCTCACTTATGTGCGTAAGAAATCCACAGCAGGAAAATATCTTGCCTTCATAATACAATTGACTAAGGAGTCGGGATTCTCCAAGAGTCTCCATGCTTGCTTCGCCACCATGACTTTATTAAAAGCTTCAAAAATTTTGAATCCAAGCCCCACAAAACATTTGGGCTTACGAAGCTTCCGCCAACTCATCCAATGAATACTGCAATAACACGTTATTATTCTAGGAATGTGGCTTCAGTGATTATGGGATGTGTAATTCTGTAATATTCACTAATGATCAAATTAGTTCCATAATATTTGCAACATGAAGGTTAAAAATATGTTTTCTAAATAAATACAATTTAAAAATTATTAGGTTGATTAATGAGGTGTTAGTTGGATTGGCACATATACTTTTCGTGTGCTTCCAAAAGGTCTTGAATTCAATTTCCTATGATACCCTTCTCCTCTTCTTAACTTGGACCAAAAAAAAATTATATTTAGATTGATTAGTAGGCATTTATCCTAAATCTCTTTGGTCGGTCTTGGCAACACAAAATGACATAAAGCCCACGACAGTCATAATTTAAAAGCCACTACAATGATAAAGCTTACTATAGGCATAAAGTCTTGAAAGGCAAAAAGTCTTGAAAGGCAAAAAGTCTACAACAAAACAACACGTCCATGAAGTGTTTATCAATTTAGTCGGTGTCACCAATTACCAATTATCATAGTGGCTAGTGGGATTGGAGCGTCGAGTGTGTATGTGCGAGTGCAAGAGTCCTTTTACATTCCATTTTTTTTTTTTTTTTTTTTTTTTTTTTTTTTTTTGAAACCATTTTTAAACCTAAGGGGGTATTTATGTAATTTCCAAAACCTTAGAGGATATTGCAAAAACACGAAAAACCTCAAGAGGTGTTAGTATAAATAACTCAAATTCGAGACAATCAGTCAAAGGACTACAAACGAATGAGTTTCATAATTATGCGTATGTTGACACTCATCAAAGGACTAAAAATCAATGTTTAATTTTACAAGGGGGTTGAATGGAATTTTAATCTTATACAAGGACTAAAATTGAAATGACTGAATTTACACAAATTTGGAATTGAAATTTTGTATGTACACAAATTTGGAATCCCTAGTATTATTGTACATACATAAAATTCACATTATTGAATTAAATACAAATATTGAATGACGAATATGATTTGAAGTTTTCAATACTTCTTAAGGAAACTTTTGAACCAGTGCGCCGAGAGTTTTGGGTGCCTTTTAAGCCCATCGTTGTAATCTACATAGGTGATACCAAATCGAACACTGAATCCCGAACTCCATTCAAAGTCGTCTAGCAACGTCCATGGAAAGAATCCCTTCACTTTGACACCATTGCTAAAAGCAATAAAAGGAAATTAAATCTATTAATGTCAATAATATGAATCAATAACTCAAAATCTAAAGCTATACCATATACATATATATTTAAATATTATAAATGAATTTGTTAATACACTTACTCAATAGAACTTTGAACATAATGAAGGTGGCGATTGTAGTAGTCAATTCTATGGGTATCATTAAGGGCTTCAGCAAGTGATAATTTCGGATCATTCAACTCATCCACACCTACAATATATAACACATTATTTTGTAGTTACAAATTTAGACTTTGTACCACTTGTGCATGTTTTACACCAAAAATATGAGAAACATTGATCATGGAATTACTTAAGGCTAGAAAAAATTACCATTTTCGGTAATGTAAATAATTGGATTGTGATACTTTTTCTTTGTGTAGAATAAAAGATGTTGAATTCCTTGTGGATAAACATTTAACCATTCCGAAGCACCCTGCACCAAAATTTGAAGATCTTTAGATTTTTAGGTGTCACATTTGTAAGTGAAAAATGATTAATGATCGAAATCATAAAGGCTTAATCTACTTAATTTGATGTGTACCTTTGGACCGATGGGGACCCCATTACGCTCAGCTGCCACAACACATATGAATATTAGAATCTAATTAGTCTATAAACTTAAATTGCTTGAATTAAGTTCTGAATTTGTACTCACATGAAAGATTAACGCCAGCATCTGTTGTGTAGCTAGCATATACCGAGTTATTTTGAGGTGCATCACTTGCATAGTAACCCGTATAGTAATTTAGTCCAAGAAAATCAAATGAACCAATTAGCAACTTGGATTGTTCTTTCGTGAATTTTGGTAATCGACTTCCGACGAGAGATCGCATGCTTTGTGGATAGTCCCCACTTGTCAATGGCTCAGCAAACCTAAAAGAATGTAAAAAGTTCAAGGATTAACTTGACATTATATTATGTATTGCTCGTTAGTAAGTAGCAAATACTATATTCATAAGCAAATTCGAAATACACTTGCCATCCGAACATAAAATCCAAAGCTCGTAATGCCGCATTTTTATTTTCTTTTTCTTCTGATAGGGGCTCAAACCAATTTGACACTAGTGTTATCCCTATCACTCCATTTTGAGACGCCTGCACAAGAACATTTAGTTTGTTTGTTTTAGAGTCACAAAAAGGTAAATTAGTCGCTCTCTTGTTGCAACAAACTAATTAATTGTACCTGGTATTTATTTTTGTACAATTTTACAGCAGCTGCATGAGCAAGGAGCTGGTGGTGTGTTACCAAATATGGCTCAGTTGATGAATCTCCGCCGGTGCAGTTTAGCTGCTGCCAAGTGGAGCATCGTCCCGGCGCTTGGGACCCGGTTGCATAGCCATAGTTACTAAAGGTATACGGCTCATTCAGTGTAGTCCAATGCTTTACTCGATCACCAAATTCCTTATAACAAAGTTCTACGTAATCTTGAAAATGATTGCTGTATATACACATTTCAGAATGTAAATGTCATAATTGTATTTATTAATTAAATTATCAATACGATTCAAAGGACTAATTTCTTCACTTACACAATATGAGGGCTTAAGAAACCACCATATTCATCTTCTAAAGTTTGGGGAAGATCCCAATGGAAGAGTGTCACAAATGGCGTTAAACCTATAAATAGCATCGTCAATAAAAGCGAGTTATAAGTTTGACAAAATGACTTTTTTTATGAGTGCATGTAACTCTTATTGTATAAATTATTGATCATGTAAGGTGGGATGACTCACCATTGCGTAAGAGCTCATTGATGAGATTGTTGTAATATTTGATTCCTTCCTTGTTCACTCCTCCACTTAACTTTCCATCTAATAATTAAAACAAAACCAGAAAAATTTGTTATATTATTCGATAGACAACTTGGACACATTACTTAAGCGAAAACCATGAAGGCAGAAATATTGACGATTGGTCACAAATGAACTTACTTGGTAACAATCTTGACCATGAGATAGAGAATCGATAAGCATCCAACCCCATATTCTTCATAATCCCCACATCTTCCTACAGTGCATAACAAAAAAGAAATCAGATAAAAATTATCAGGAGCTTATCTTCAATGTGATGAGTTTTCTTCATGCTTCAAAATTTAATATGTGCACATTGGGTCATCAAACCTTATAGCGGTGATATTGATCAACAGTGATATCTCCATTGCTGCTATCGTTAATCTTTTCTGCAATTAATCATAGAAGATTTATTTATTTAGAGCATAAGAATAAAAGTAGCACGATTTTGTTATTTTAACTAATTGATGATTTGATTGGACAAACCTGGATATTTGTGGGTGAAGGTATCCCAAATGCTTGGTCCTCTACCACCTTCTTTTGCCGCACCTTCATACTGAAATACACAAGAGACACAATGAAGAAGATGTACAATATTCTTGCATGGATCCATGCTTGGTCTGACTTTGAAAGAAAACCCTAATCAAAACTCAAATTAAGGCCCAAAAAAGGACTTACTTGGTAAGATCCAGAACCTACACCAAATATGAACCCTTCTGGAAAACTGCTCCTATTGAGAGAAGCAGTGTCAAAATGTGTGGGTGGAGCTCTAATATCAGCTTCGCTATTTGTGAAAGCAAAGCCAATTAGTAGCAGTATGCCTAAGAGAAAAGAACGTAATTGCATTGCCATAACTTGAGGTATTTTTGTTGTTGTTGGTAATAATCTTGATAAGTATAAGTTGGCTCTGGCTGGCATGCTGCATGGCCTTTATATAGAGGAGGAAGTACGTGCTGAGCATGAGAATAGTAAACACACATGGGCATTGAATGGGTTTGAGGGGGCAACTACGTAGAATGTCATGGTACAAAGGGAAATGGCAATTTTCATATTTGAATGAGTTTGTCGTTGTCTCCTCCCAAAACTCAACTGCTAATTCAAACACGCAATATAATGGTGCAT